ACTATAGTAATTTTAAATTAATTATAATAAAATTAGAAGCTACTGCTATTAATTTATTAATTTTTTTACTAATTCCTTACTAAGTGGCTATTCTATAATTTTGCCCTTGTCCTATAATTTTGCTGCCTACTCTTCGAGTAAGGCTCCCTTTTAGTCAGATCCACGAGTATTGGATATCTTTCCGAATCGAGCTACGTTCAGCTTCTCAAGTTCAATACGGCTGTTCTAGACTGAATTGTGGCTGCCTGAGGATGCACTGTGATAATAATAAATGGACTCACCGACTCTTGGCGGCAAAGACTCACAATCTCCCACGACAATTTCAACCCTAACTATTAAGCTTACATAACTCTATTTAACAAAACTCACTACGGGCTAGCGATATGATGCGATGAGTGCCCAGTAATACCTTCCAACGAGGTTGTATCACAACTCAAATCCCGGTTCGAGTTCCCAGTCGTAAAGAAACCTAACGTCAACACGATCACCCAAGAGGGCGGCGGCTACCCCGACTCTCACATCCTCATCTGGCACCAGATCGATAAAGTTGTTGTCAAAGACCAAGCTCTTACCATCACAGCCAGATGCACTCAACACAACTCCTTTGGCTGGTGCATTAGATCTCACAATAACCGCTGATCCATCATCAACTATTTCTGTAGTGACTTTGAGATCAGAAGACATGTGTACATACTTGAGAGGCTCTGGCCAGCTCACCCATCTGGCTAGTTGTTCTCCAGATGAGACGTCTCGTATGTAAGCAACCAAGACCGTTTCATCTGGGCTCGGAATCTCCAGTCCAGCCAGGAGTTCAGTTGAACGGTTTCCTTTCAGAACATGTTCCTTTGACGCCACCGCGCCCTTCCATTGAACTGACTTTCCACTTTCGATATCAAATGCTTTGACCTCCAGGTTGACTCTCATCTCATGCAAATGACCATTGACTGCCCAAACGTCCACCTTGTGCTTCTTATCAAGATAGCCAGTCGTGATATAAGGCGGCTTCTCTGTGACGACTCGTTCCATTCCAACAACCATCTTATGCAATGCTCGTTTAGTGATGTAGTATGCCGGTTTGGGATTCATGTCTACATCAACGAGTGCCCAACTGATACCAGGCCAGATGTCGTTCAGCTGCCAGACCAAGACACCACCACAGTTCTCTTCCCCACGTCCTCGGAACTCACGTCGCCAACAGTTATAAGCATACGCCATAGCTTCGGCCTGAAGGAACTGCGTGCAGTACACAAAGTCTTTGAGTGGATTCATGCGGAAGCGATAGTTCTCGCCCATGTACATTGGGTACCGTCTTTGATGACCAGGGCCTTTATCGTGGACGTCAAAAGTCCTCGACTGGGAATGACGCTCTTTGGGAGAGGTGATGGCTCGGTGAAGAGTCTGAAGACTGGGAGCTGACTCGAAGCCGAATTCTGAGATGAAGCGAGACATGTAAGCTTTGTAGTCCTGGTAAGGTGACATCTTTCCATGCCAGACATCCCAGCAATGCGTGTCCCCAACCGTTGTGTCGTTGGAGAAGCTTCCGCCGTAAGGAGAGCTGATCCAGTACGGGACATCGGTGCCTGATGCTTTGATGACGGAAGGCAGAGTGCGTTCGTAGATCTCGCGTGCTGGAAATGTGGTCTTGTCCCATGGACCGGTAGTGTCACTGTAGTCAACATCCCAGCACCGATCTCCGTCGGCACACATGTAATCCTCATTGTTTCCGCACCACAAGACAAGAGAGGGATGGTGACCAACACGCTGCACTTGTTGCTCCGCTTCGATCTTCACATTGGCAACGAAGTCTGGGGAAGCTGGGTAATTGCCGCATGCGTATAAGAAGTCTTGCCAGACCATGATGCCTTCACGGTCACATAGGTCATAGAAGTCGTCGCTCTCAACAATTCCGCCGCCCCAGACGCGAATAATGGACTGGTTCCCTGCTTTGGCAAGAGTGATCCATTTCTCGTAGGTACTCTTTGACACTCGCGGTAGCATGAAGTCCGCAGGGATCCAACATGAGCCTCCGCTGAAGAGACGGACGTTGTTGACCTCAAAGATGAATGAAGTGCCCGGTTGGTCTTTGAGTGGGTGTTGTAGTAGACGCAATCTTCTGATACCCAACTTTCTGCTCACAGTATGATTGGGGATGCTGACTTGAAGCAGATAGAGGTTCTGTTCTCCATACAAAAATGGGTACCATAGCTTTGGTTTGTTGAGTTTGACAGTAAAGGACAGAGCGCCTTTAGTCGACTTCGACGCTTTATCATCAACCACAATGGCCCCTGTTTGAACGTCCAGTAATTGAACCCGAACCTCATTGATACTCTCATGGCCCTCCAGTTGCGCTTCGACTTTGATGTCTACAGAACAGAGATCTGGGGCAACATCCTGGGTGACCCTGAGATCACAAATGCGCGACTTATAGACCTCCAGGTATATGGGCTTCCAGGGACCGCAAGTGTTGACGGCCGGTCCCCAGTCCCAACCCCAATGATACTGAGCCTTCCTGACAAAGAGCCTCTCAGACCCGCCAAAATTGACGCCTCTTCCAACCTTGAGCGTCTTGTATCCGATACGCTCACGTTCAGAGCGACCATACGCTGGAGCAGCTCTGAACCTGAGTTCAAGAACAGAAGGTTTCTCTCTACCTCGCAGCATTTTGGTGACATCGATACGATGGGACCTATGCATATTGTTACTGAACAAGATATGCGAATTGTTCAGATAGACGTCCACGACTGTGTCAAGGCCCTCGAACACAAGCTCTGCCTTGTCCGACGATTTCAGATCCAGTGGAGAAATCTCCTCTGTACGGTATGTCCAGTCGGCATCATTGACCCAAAGACACTTCAGTTCGTTGATGTCGATATAGGGATCAGGGATCAATTCGTGATGCAAAAGATCAATGTGAGCGACAGTTGGAAACTGGGCGACAGGGAGAAAGGAGGAAGCAGCGCTATCGTTGAGAGAACTGGCTTGCTTGAACTTCCAACCTTTATTCAAGTGGATTTGACGCAACATAATCGCAGGGAGAGAAAGGATATTCGGTGAGAATAGGGAATGAAGTGTCTCCTCTGAAGAACATCGGACAGTCGATGCGGGGAACCTTCAACTTATGTTCTGAATATGGGGGTTACACCGCAAGTGGATTAAGCAACCAGTCGGCGATTTATCCGTGAGAGCATGATTGATGATCAGACGTACGCAGTCTTACATTGGTAGGTAATGTACCCAGATCTCCACCAACAGCTCACTACAGCGGTAATATGTAGATCCGCGCTAGCTGCAGTGCAACAAATAACCCCCAATTGTCGAGGGTTGCGGGCCTCAATTGTACATAGTTATTGAATTAGGTACTGATAGTTATTTAACTTGAATTGATAAGCTAAAGGATAACGTAATCGAAATGAAATATGACTCAAGCCCGGTCACAGTTACAGATATTCCTGAGCCTTCATCTTTTCCTTCTCAGTGTTAATAGACAATGCCTTAGTATCACTCGATGCTTCGATAGCAACTTCATCATCAAAGAGAGCTGAGATCTCCTCCAGGGTCATTCCCTTGGTCTCCGGGAAGAACAGGGCGAAGATGATGGCACAAACAATTGTAAATGCCATCATGATCAGATAAAATCTCCAGCCAATGGTTTCGAAAGCAGTTGGTGCAGCTTCGAGAAGAGTAAGAGAGCCAACGAAGAGACCGGCACAAGATATCGCAAACCCTTTTCCTCGAAGATGGGTCGGCCAGATCTCAGAGCCATAGACATAAGTCGAGGCATCCATGCAGGTGGCATAGAAGGTGAGGTGCAGATATAAGAAGAAGACACCAGCCGAATTACCAGCTTTATTTGTCGTGCCTCCATACACAGCGACCATGATGCTTACACCAAGAAGCGAAATAGCACAACCAATGAGACCCGTGACCATCAACCATTTTCTTCCGACGTAGTCAAGGAGGACGGCATTGATGGCATTGCAAACAAGTCCTTCGGTCAGCCATCCAGCCGAGAGCGCGAGACTAGCAGAAGCACCATGTCCGAGAGCTGCATACAATGAAGGTCCATAGTTGTTGATGACAGTAGTTCCCGTAAGCTGGCCTGCAAGAAGAGTGGTGAAACCAATCAAGGCCCTCTTCCGGTAATGCGGCACGGTAAAGAGCGAAGCCCAAGACGATGGCAAATGACGTTCAAGCTCTACCTGAGCACGGATCTGGGCAAATTCGGCCTTGGCCGCATGGCTATCGGGATCACTTGGATCTCTGTAGATGCGCTGCAGAACAGCCTCGGCTTTTTCATGCTGATCGTTGTCGATAAGCCATCGGGGAGACTCAGGAATGAAATAGACACCACATGCTAGAATGAGCGGAGGCAAGCACTGAATGGCCAGAGGAGGACGCCACTGAGCTCCATCTGCATTGACGAAGTAAAACCCGAGTCCAACCCAAGCCGAAGATGAGTAACCCACTAAGATAGAAACACCGTGAAGACCAACGAGGAGACCACGAGCATGAGGAGGCGCAACCTCACTCTGCCATAAAGGCACAAGCATGACGAGTCCACCGATAGCCAGACCCGTCAGGAATCGTGACACAAGATACATGGCCAAGTGGACAGATCCAGCTTGGAGACCACCGCCGATGATAGCGAGTACACTAGCCAAAAACATGGCCTTGCATCGACCAAACTTGTCAGCGACAGCTCCAAAGCTCAAGGTGCCGATGAGGCCACCGCCCTGGAAGAGGCCGTTGATTGCGCCAATAAGAGCAGCTGCATTGCTGGCGGTGTCGAGACCGAAGTAATGGAGGAAGGATGGTTGGCCGAGGGTTGAGCCTATGATGGCGGAACAGTATCCGTAGGTGATGCTCCCAAATGTTGCAAATGCGATGATCTGTTGACATGTTGATTAGATGGGATCCAATGATATAGCGAAGTAGTACGTACGAGAATATTATAACCACTAAGTGGTTTGCCGCGAAACTTTATAAGTGCCATGCTGTAGTATCACAAGTTGGTTGCTGCAAAAGGTGATGATGGGCAGGACAGTTATTCTACAATTATCTGGACCTCATCGGCGCATTGTAAGGTTCAAATACTCCTACCATCGCCATGGCTTGTCTCATGCACCCTTAGCTAGGCAATACGGTGGTTCACTGAAGGAGGCTATCTAAGTTGCTCGTGGTGCTATTCCATAAGTAGTCAGGGCCAGATAACAGCGCTGGATAATGCTTAACCGGATAGCGAGGGCCAATCAGCTTCCAAGTCTTTTAACAAGTGCCGCTTGAGATGGACTCCGCTCTTGGTTACGCTAACATGCGGGGATGAAGCTTATCATGGGGTCGCCCTTGTTGATGTGAAGACATGCTGGGTAATGCTTAACCAGCATAACTCCTTGGCTATTAGATGCTTATCTAAGACACTGGTAAGGGACGGCTCGGCAGTAGACTATTGACTGCATCTATACAGCTATTGGCATATTTTGTGCATAGCTAATGGCTGCACGGCTGTACCCGGCTGAATTTAGCCTTGCCTCTCTTCACTCTTACCCGGAAGCTGCCAATGACGGTCTTTGTCGAGGATCACCTGCATTACTTGTCTATGATATTCACAATGACTGAACATCTCTCCTGGCCCTATTGACCATAGTCCTTTAAAAACAGCCTGCGTAATTCCGGATTCAAAGTTTTTGTATAGTCGTCCTGGCCTTCAATTCTTAGCGTACAACTGACATTGTTAGCTTGGAGAAGCGTGAAGCCAGATAAGAGAAACGGGAAAGTACATCACGTGTAACACATAACCCCGCTCCAATGTCTATCGTTCGTTCAGCAATCTGCCCATTCCTACCAATATCGGTACCATGAGATCTCAGGTGACGGTCTCTGGAAAGCCGAGGCAGCGGTCAGCTTTAGCCTGCAGTACATGTCGCACAAAGCGGGTCAAGGTAGGCCTAACTCTTAACTGGCAGACAAGATGTCTATGACGCTAAAAATGGATGTAGTGTGATGGCCAACGGCCCTCCTGCTCAACGTGTAATACAGCTGGTGAGGTCTGTGAATACACGACCCAGGACAGTAATAGAAAGTAAACAATTCTGACCATTGATGATGAACTCTGAAAGAAGAAGTAATAAGCGTCTAACTATTATCACAGGCCCCCAAGCAAGCGTTATGTCGAGGCGCTCCAAGAAAGGATCAGAACATTGGAAGCACAAATCGAGCGATTCCAAAATACCACAGGAACTCAGGAGAGAGGCCCATCGAGCTCCATTGAAGATAATTACAGTACTTCAGAGGGCGACTCTATCCCTGACGATTCGAGCTACAGATCTCCAATTAAGGATATAAGCGACCGACTTGGAGCCCTCAACATTGGCGAAGACGGCCAAATCCATTACTTTGGCTCTAGGAGTAATTTCTCGCTCCTGAAAAACAGCCCTGTAGCAAGTTCAACAGTATCATCGCACGAGCTGCAGAAACAGGCGGCAGATACCCTTGACCAGCTGAATCTTCGCGTCGAAGTATCAGACGAGCTGAGGAATCATCTCCTAGACCTCTTTTGGAGTTGGCAGAATACATGGCAGTACCTCGTCGTCAAGGAATTGTTCCTTGAAGATCTCTACATCACTCACTCTGGCCGATATGCTTCACCTCTATTACTATCTGCAGTATTGGCACTTGCGGCTCGGTACTCAGATCGAATTGAACTACGCACCGACCCCCTTGACCAGAATACGGCCGGGAACGCGTTAGCTGAACAGGCCAAGATGATCCTATTTTATGAGAGCCAAGCGCCGAAAGTGACGACAGTCCAGGCAACAGCATTGCTTGGGCTACGAGAGATAGCCACCGATAAAGAGGCTCTTGGATGGATGTACTGCGGTATGTGATAAGATACCTGGAAGTCGGAGATACTAACAATGACATGCAGGCATGGCAGCGAGAATGGCCTTCAACCTCGGACTACATCTTGACCGAAGCCACTGGGTCGATACAGGACACATCACCAAAGACGAAGCTGAAGTTGGTACTATTGTTTGGTGGGGATGCTATGTTTTAGATAAGTGAGATCTCTTTTTGTCCTCTACTGCATGAGGTCTACAGCTAACATGGCCATTGAGGTTATTCAACATCGGGCTTGGTCGACCATCCACTATCCAAGAACACGAAATATCGGCCAAGTTGCCTTCTATGGAACATGGTGCAGAGTACGAATCCTGGCATTCCGAGTCTCCCATAGGCGAACCTATCGTCTTTCCACGGAGTCATCAAGTCTCGAATGTCCGTTCGACGGTTCAGCTGTTTAGGGTCACATCATCAGCCTTGGATGAGATGTAAGTCCCCCTCTTGCTCGAGTTCTCTAGATACTAAGACCACCAAGATACAGACCCGGCAGCCAACATGCCAAGTCCCGAATCATGGAACTCGTCACCAAGACACATGTGAATATCATCGAGTTTCAGATAAACCTTCCGAGCTGTCTTCGTCTTTCGCCATCGCCACTGGCACCTACGCTACCTCACATCTACTTGCTTCAGTATGTACTCAATTTGAATTTGATACGGTTCAAGCACTAACACTATCAAAGCCTTCAGATTCATGTTGCCATAATCCTACTCCATCGGCCTTTTGTTGGAGTGCAGCGAAAGACGTTAGACCCTGGCAGCTTTCATCCCAGCACTGGGTCAAGTCACCTCAAAGAGTGCAGTCAATCCTCACATTCCATCTCCAACATTTTCAGGCTTTACAGCAAACATTACACTTTAGTGAGTAGCCCTTCGACTCTTTCAAACTTGATAATACTCTCATGCTAATGAACCTCAGCGACGAATACCAATCTCAGCCATTCACTGCGCTTTCACCGCATCAATCATTCTTCTCCTTGAAACAACATCCACAGATTCCAAGGACCGTGATCGTGCTATGGCTTCTCTCAAAGTGCTGGCTGAAGCGCTCACTGACATGAGTGCTGCTTGGGCCTGGAGCCAGCGTGCATTGCTTGCAGTTCGCCAACTGGCCCGGGAATGGGCGGTCAGTGAGGATGCATTCAGTGCACTTGGGATCCGTAAAGGAGAAGACAGCCAGGCCACTGGGAATGCTATCATTGGTACAACACAAGCACTTGATGATAATGAAGCTAGCAGCTCGCTTTGGGTAGCAGAAGGCCCCCATTGCTTTGACATGGATATTCCGTTTATGACGAGCGACGGTCTGGACTATCAGGGATGGATTGGCACACTGTTTACAGAACCGGGATATCCGGGCGATGCTGCTTGAGCAAAGTGATTAAGCTAGAAGATGAACAACCCGGTCTATCGACCATTCAAAGCAACGCGTGCCGATGTCAGCCGATGCTACTAATAATTGCAGTCCAGTCCACTTGGTCAGTTTCTTATCTCTTCAATCAATAATGCCGTGTTTCTGGTACTGTTAAGATAGCCAAAATGAATATACGTAGTGTCTCTCAGGGCTGTTCCCTGAGATCAAGTTCAGTGAGGGGATTGGGTGGATAATGCTTAGCCGGGTCTAGATCAGCAGTGTTTGTAGGCCCTGTACTCACTAAAGCCTCCCAATCTGCGGGGTAACGCTAGGCTCTTTAGCAACGTGGAACCCTGTTACGGATAATGCCTACCCGAGAAAATGGGCGATACGGAGGATGTACTATGAGATCAGATGTTAGTTTATGTGAAGGTAAACAGTATTGGGATAATAAGTATATAAATACACATCCTATGTATTCCACCATTGATGAATCCAAAGTACTATCTCAACCGAGATTCATCTGCCTGTTATTTTTCCTATTCCTATCAAAATGTCAATTCGTCAATGGAAGGCCGCCATCTGCCAGGCTGAACCATGCTGGTTCGACAAAGTCGCCGGTGTCAAAAAGACAATCCGTCTCATCAACGAGGCCAGCCAGAACGGAGCCTCTCTCATAGCCTTCTCCGAGGTCTGGCTGCCAGGCTATCCCAATTTCCTATGGTCGGGAACATACAGAGAGAACATGCCCTTGGTGCAGAAGTATATGCAAAACAGTATATCTGCCTATGGCGACGAGATGCTTGAGATCCGTCAAGCTACCGCAGCAGCCAACATCTACGTATGCTTTGGTTTCAGTGAGCGGGTTGGGGCTTCCTTGTATCTCGCTCAGGTCCTCATTGGTCCTGATGGTAACATTCTTCTTCATCGGCGCAAGACAAAACCTACGCACGTTGAGAGAACTATTTTTGGAGACTCCACGGGCGATTCTCTTACTACCGTGGTGGACACTCCCTTGGGAAAGATTGGCATGCTGAACTGTTGGGGTACGTTCTCAACCTTGACGTATGAGGCTGACGGTTCGCTAACAATTAGATGATAGAACACCTTCAGCCACTCCTCAAATATCACACCTACTGTCAAGGCGAACAAGTTCATATCGCTGCCTGGCCGTTCAACGCAAAGTGGACCGAATCAGCTGTTGAACCCTACTCAGTGTTCTCAGAGGCCAACGAGGTTACAGCCAGTCGCATGTATGCCCTAGAGGGCTCTGTATACGTCCTCGTAACAAACCAGCCACTGTCTGCCGAAGGCGCAAAGCTTAACAGTCAGGGTCAAGGGAACGCAGACAAGGACGGGTTCATGCTTGCTGGTGGTGGTGGTGCCGCAGCTGTTTTTGGTCCAGATGGCCGACAGCTGACTGAACCTACTGATCCGCTGTTTGATGGTCTCATCTACTGCGATATTGACTTGGATAAGATTGACTACGCGAAGACCTTGACTGATTGCGTGGGTCACTACTCACGCCCTGACCTGCTGCGACTTGTCGTTGATGATCAACCCAAGAACTATGTTGTGCGCGTATCTGATGGACCGACCAACACTCCTTATCACACTGGCACCAGCGGTGAGACGTTACTTTCAGCTCATAAGAAGCTGGATGAGCTTCTTGCTAAGAAAGCCAAGAAGGAGGCGACAAGCTGATGGGGTGAATATTGAAATATTTCGCAACTGGGAAGGGCGAATGAAGAGACACACGGGACTTCGAAAGAGCTTGGATATGAATGAGTTTTCTTGCATGATACACAAAGTCTCCTTGAGCGACCAATCGTTGGGATATAAATAAGATGTGTAGTCAATTTAATTCGTAAACCGATCAAGCATATCTGTTCCCGTCACGTCGCCCAACCTCAAGCTCTCAGCTGCCAAACCAAGCTCAACCTCAATGGGCACATGGCAATGGCCGACTCTCTATTCATCCTCCGGCTTAAGCGCAAGAACCAGAACAGCAGTCACATCCTTCTCCAAGCAGCTTCCGTCCATCACAACGAACGCGTGAGGGTAGCTGGGCAAGTTTTTGCGTGATGACGTTTCAAAGACGTCATGCAGATGGCCAACAAATCGTTCAAAGCAATTGTTGGAATCTGTCAGCTGTCCATCGTGGCTCTCAGCTTTGAAGATATCTGGCTTCTCGAGTCTTCCGTTTGGCCAGTTCAAGATCTTCTTTGCATAAGTCTCGGTTGCGAAGTCGCAGGCTTGTTGGACGTCTTGGTAAGTGACGTCATGTAATCCATACACCAAGACAATGCTGTTCTCAAGAACATAATGGCTGCCTTCCTCAAACATGACACTGGCTTCATGAGAGGTTTCATAAGGCATTGTTGGTACAAGTCTCGGCTCGGTATGGAGGAAGAGTTTTCGAAGAAAGAGAAGAGGAAGGTGATAAGAAATGTGAACATAGTTATACAACGAGAGATATCTATTTAAGCATGATAGCGCTAACATGGTTCTGACAATTTCGACACAAGCCGCCTCAAAACTCCAAGCACATGAAATCACTACAAGACTAATCAAAGCCACGGGCCTTCTCTGCTCATTTTCGCGAACAAAACTAGGATATCAGTTAGATCATCTCATGTTGCAAAGAGGATTGACATCGTCGCTCAACAGCTTCCATATGACTTACCCCTCTTGTTCCTGTCTACCTCCTTTAGCGCTCCCAAGGCCCCTTTCATTGAATCCTCTGCTGCAGTGATGTGCCCCCGGATAGCGTCTCTGTTTTGATAGGCGAATGGGTAGTGCTGTAGGTAGTCCAGTCGTTGCTCGGCAGTACTAGAATACCCATCTCGTCAGTTCCTAATACAGTATGATCATGTTGGTTCAAGGTTGTCCTTACTTGATTGTCGCCTGGATCCATTTCTCTTGCAACTCATATATCTCCATCTGGGCTTCAGGGGGCGCATGGAGGAACCTGTTGTTATACTGAGCCATTCTCTGATCAACAGCGTTCTTGCAATCGGTAGCGTGATTCGCCGCCTGTTTGTACACCTCATAAAGCACAATCATAGACGGGGAGTTCATTGCCTGCTCATACTCTTCATTAACGATCTTCTTCTGTTTATGGGAGAGCCGCTTCCTGAGAGCAATCAGGTATTCAATACGGGCACCCATATCTTTGATCTCGAATCTGAACGACATCAAGCCGTTGACAAGTGCTTCTTGAGACTCAACAGACATGATGGACGGTTCGTACTGAATATTCGTTTGTGCCTGTGGCAAGTAGCTGGCCTGGCTGGAGCTAGCACGGCTGGAGCTAGCACGGCTGGAGCTAGCACGACTGGAAATAGCCTGGCTGGAAATAGGCCGGTTGGAGGGAGTCTGGGTAGAGACAGGCTGACTTGATATACCCTGTCTGGAGGTTGCCCGACTGGAGCTGCCATCAGAGCGGATTGAGGAGGATGCTCGAGCCTCTAGGTGACTAGGAAGACGTGAAACCGGACGAGCAGGAGTTACAGGCCTATAGTTCTGCGTAGGCTACACTGAGTCAGACATAAAATATATCGCCAATCGTATTATAATACTTACCCTTGCCATCTCAAGTTCGTCCGTTTCCCTCCTTGCCATAGGACCTCTGCCGTCTTTGCATCGGCTAGAGAAATATCCTTTGTTGTTGCAAGAGTAGCACATGATGGAGATATCGGTATAAGTACTTTATGGAAAGTAGCAGAGAATAGGTAGATCAAACAAATTGATACAAGATGCAAGTAATGGTAAACAGCCCGCTGATAACTTGACAGGGAATAATGTTTGGAACAATGACAATGAGACTGAATGATGATGTGCTGTTTGGATGGGTTTCTGTTATTCTATGGACTTGGACGAAGTTGGAAGGGCTCTCTTATACTTAGAAAGCTCTGATCGATTCCACCTTCAACATCTGAAGGAACGCCAACATCAAAATCCATTGGCATGTTGGTTGAACACATGGCCGACGGAACTGGTCTCGCGAGTTTCAGGTTCGGTCAAAACCGGCCGATAGGAACGTTGGAAAGAGATATAAAAAAGTTGAATGGCATTATTTTTATTCCTGGACCAACATACCGTTACCTTCGGCGGCATGATCATATGAGCTGCACTTGGAGGGCCGAATTCTTCAACGACGGCGTTTAAACGCGCGTCTCGATCTCGGCCATTTGCACAGCCCCGCCCAGGCCATGAGAACGTGCTCGGCAACACTCCTCAGACCTCGTGCCTCATAGCGGAAAGTGGACAGATCAGCACAGCCTCCTTGATGTGACTCTGGCTAGTCTGGGTGATAAGCGCGTTTCCGGGCGCCAGACGACGCGATTTCATTGGCTAATGAACTTGCCCCGCTCTAGCCGCGCGATATCTCGAACGTTTCTGATGTGTTGTTTTTCTGGCAGTTCTGCCTCCAACATCTTCTAACATCTCACCTCTTTTCAATGATTATCCGGTCATTTGAGTCACAATTAACATACTAGAGCGGGAGAAAACGCTGGGAATCAGAAAACAGGTAAGCAGCCAACCATAACAGCCCCAGTAGCCAACCTCAGACCATATCTACTCATGCTCAATAAGCTTACAGCCTATAGTTCTGCTCAGAATTTCTCTTTTTGTGAGCGTCTCTTATAATGCGGAGGCTAAAACGGCTATGGCAGAGGAAGCGTCCCCAGAAGGAGGAGCAGATGCCGACTCCGATGCCTCTTGCGACGCCCGCTGTCACCGATAGCCCAAAGACTTCCTCTCTTTCCAAATTTGAACAACTTCCATTTGAGATTCGAAACGGAATTTTCCTTGCTATAGACTCCTTATCAGATCTTTCAGCCTTGGTTCATGCGTCTCCCATCTTTCATGAACAGTACCGACTTGACCGAGCGTTTTGGCTATGGCATTGCTTGAAGCTTGAAATGGGCAATGTCTATATTGATGCCTATATTGCCGATCAGTGCAACGCTCGGAAATTTCGTTTCAAACGTACGCGAGAAAAGATCTTGCTCCTCATCGAAGATTACAAGTCACATCGCTCGCTGAGCACAGATATCTTTACCAAACACCCCGATCAGGATCAGATCCTCAGCATCGTCACTTTTCATTCTTCCGTCATCCGTCCCCTCATATATCACTACGTCTCCTGGACTCGCTCAAATATGGAGTCTCTCTCCTCGCCGAAAGAAATCAGCAAAACAGAGGAGAGGCGCATCATCCGTGGCTTATACCGCTTCCAAATATTCAGTAATCTCTTTGGGCCCGCACGGCACAGGGGCTACCGGCATGGAGAGAGTTTACTTGGAGACGAAGAAAGACTTGGTCTCTTTCTCGATGGCTTTGAAGCCTGGGAGGTTGAAGAAATGTTATGCATCAACGTTTTTATGCACGCCAAGTACGACAGGGTATTTCAGGAAGTCCAATGGGACTTGCATCCAGATAACCCGTCATTCGATATCGTAAGGACGGGTCCACATACACCGCCCGGCGCATTCCACCTTGTTGACCATCGTGAGTACCATGGCTGTGCATCTGGAAATGCGTTGTTGACTCTTCCAGTGTCCTCAGAATGGCACAGGACCGGCATAGTCTATAGGGGGCTTTCCGTCCTGTCTTCAGTGTTCAAGGCACAAGACCACCTGGAACTTGTTAAAGTGGTCTCGGAAGAGGTCGTTACGGCCGTGGATGACTTGCTTTTCCGGAGCACTGAAATTTTTTATCAAGAGCAAAGACGCGAGAATCAGCATTCTGACAGGGACCAAGCTCAGGATGATCGTGAGAAGATGATCTTTGGGGGCGATAGTGATGAATCCCCTCCGTTTGCCTGGGTCGTCTTTTGGAAAGAAAGATACAGCAATCTCTTTGGCGATTTCATACCACGGCCTTTGCGTCATTGGGGATATATTATGTGGGACAGGGATCGGTTAACTAACACTAATGCTGTTGCTATACTTGACCAGGAGTGGAAAAGAGTATATACAAGGCCTTATGACAGCGAGGAGCCGGAAGACCCCAGGGATGAGATTTTGGCTTATCACTGATGAGCGGTAGAAGATAATACAGTGACCCGTTCTACTTCCGGTCGTACATCGAAGAAATGGATAGAGGTGTAAATTGCGACTACTTAAATTGACCTGAGTCGCAGAGGATTGAATGAAAAACATATGAAGAGAATTAGTTACTTTTGACAAGATTAGGAACGGGATACCGTTCGGTTCTATTTTCCCAGTACCAGGCCCTACGGCTTACTACTGTGCCAAGCTCCGCCACCTTCTGGACGAAGACTTTAACAGCCTTTGAGATCGGGGATAGCATCAGGTCCGGATCCAAACGCAACCAGTTTTTCACCGCAGTTTGCTGGGGGCGCGAGTGCAACCTGCTTGTTGTCGAGATCGAAGGCTAGATAGGCAGCTTCCAAGAAAGGCTCTGTTCACGTGTCAGCAGGTACTCACAAATCTCCTACGGAAACCAATGTCAACTTACGTCCCAGGACAAGTTGTCCCTTCCAGGTGGTCAAAACACCGACCCAGCAAGTCTTTCCCTTGTCACCGGACTGGTTGGTGATGATCTTGCTGTAAGGAATCTTGATCGTGACGTCGCCGAATTGGAAATCCCAGCTACCAGGCATATTGCGCTTCTCGCAAGGCACGAAGTATGCGTCTTGTCCGTTGTTGACTGCGCCGAGGGTCTTGTAGAGAGGATCGACGAAGGAGTGGCGGAATCGGAGGTACTGGTTGGCGCTGTCAAGGAGGAACACCGAGTCGTTCTTATGGACTTCGTAGCTGGTCACTTCACCGGCCTCGTTCTTTCCATTGGGGACAGTCTGGCTGAGGCCTGTGAGAACGATTGAGGGTCTAAACATCTAAGGTCAGATCACCTTCTTCCTGCGGATCGTGTAAAGCACTTACCCAAATGTGCCGAGCTCATCCTTTACCAACGGCCTCTTTACAAGCTCGCCCTTGAACTTACCCGTGTCAATACCACCAAGAATAATTGAAGCTGTTGTTAATTGAAGGTTAGCGTCGTAATCTGTACGCAGAGCAGCGGACTTACCTGGCTTAGAACCGTGCTCGCGCATGTCAACACTGTAAGTACGGCTGGCAATCTTTTTGTTTGCAACGAGGTTGTCCAAGAAAGAGCTATAGATTTTCCCCGGCGCATATCCATGTTCTACGTTGGGACCAAGCGCAAGACCACCAATTCCGGAGAACTCATCCTTGTAAGGATTGAAAAGACCAAATACTTGCTTGGGAATGCTAACACCGGCAATTTGGACAGTGTCCTTGTGATAGTCCAGATCAAATGTTTGGTTGCTTGGCGGATATGTCGTTGGATCGCCATAAGAGATTGCCGTATGACCCAGAACGGGTGATGAGGTCTTGGATTTGTTGAGCTGATAGTACCCATTCTCGCAGCCATCACATTCCGCGTAAGTCTTGTCCGAGATAAACCCTAGAATTGTTAGTAACAACGACTGCGACTAACAGAAGGCTCATACATGTTGTCGATTTGGCTATGTCTAGATTCAGCTTCATCTTCTGGGCGGGAGTGCCAGCCGCAACCTCAGCAATCCACGAATGAGAGTCATCGGAGCTATCTTCAATCAGAGGCAGAACATGCAGTCCAGGAGCCGATGGGTTCGATCTTCTTGCGTGGCTTCCATGGGTTGCAACAACGCCCGGTGCAGCATCCAGCAGCAGGATGGGTAGCGCTAATAGCCAGTACTGATGGACCATCTTGAGGTAGGTGGTTTGGAAGAGGAGAGGTACGATGACAGATGTGAAATGCAAAAGTTGAAGTAGGAAACATCCTCTCTTATTGTATAATTACTAAGAGTATAAAGTTTATACTATTATTAAATTACTCGTATTGTTAAGATGTCTATAGGTTCTGGAAGCTTATGCCCCCTTCTTAAAGCTTAACAACACATCGGATAAAGCGGCGTCGGCATGCCAGTGGAGTCTTAATTTTAAATACAGGGGTTTACCGAGGGCCATGTGCTGTCATCCTCCCAAGTGCGCCCTGAGAGCAAACCTTAAAACATATGTCATGCTGTGAGGTTATGCGTTTAACCTTCTTAATTCTGGGTAGATTGCAAAAGTCCTTGTCATGGCTCTATGGCTAGTTCGGCAGTGGCTCAGTCGACCCATCCCCTTGACGGTCCTAAGACGTTAGAGGAATAATCACCCCAATTTTCCACCCTTCTTTATTCTCTTATTAGATGGACCGGCACCGGATGCTATTTAAATCCGTTGTCGATCTTGGTTATGCATCTGACACCTTGGGACCGTCAAGGGGATAAATCACCGTCACAGGTAGCAAGGCCCATCACAGCTTCTATCTTTCTGGAACATGAGCTGCTCTTTAAAACACCCTGGTTCGGCATTTAAAGGCGACATTCTAACCAATTTTAACAAAGATCGATAGATACCCTACTATTCAGTAGCCGTGTAGTACTGCATTGGTCCTGCAAATAAATTAGGGTCAAATCTACTGTGAAACTATTATTTATCAAGGGACAAGACGTACTACTGTGCATGATCTTTTGTTGGGCTGTGCTAGAACACGTTAGCTGCTCTAGTGGAGTTCGGCTCATGGCTGTCGGCAGTTAAACATAGTAGATTAAACCCAAAAGAGCGGAGAGCTAGACCAAACCGGGAGCCCCAGCCTCCTCATACGGGAAAAGCAGTACGGATTAAAAAGTATTAATTACACATAATACATTACGACGCAAGTTACCTTTCAAAAAGTACTTCTGGCTATTTAATTATGTAGCTAAAGTAACATTACAGATTCTAATGCTTTCTGGGCCGCGTGAAAGAGAACTTTATAAGTTATATATAGCTAATTGTCTAAACCATTAAGGAAGCTTTGTTTATTCGCCCTTCGACCTCCTTGTAAGACAATGTAAAGACGATAACTAATACTTAAATAAGTAAGGGCCTTTGGCATGACTGGCTACCTAGTATGTATACTAATAACCCCGACCAAGTTTCCCTTGTACATAAGTTTAGTCATGTCGTGCTATATGCCTTTTTACTAGTCGCAATCTAAGTAAGTTTAGTTCATTATTCAAATTTTCTTTTTCTGTCTTAAATATGGTTTAAATTAAATATACCAGCGTCAGGGATCCTGTCTATCTCTATCACTAGCTATAGACCCAACAAGGCCAGCTTGCAGTACTTAGCCACTACCTTTACATACATCATACAGATAGAATGCAGGTCTATGAAATAGAAGTTGAAAGGTGTTTGACACTAGCTATACTTGTCGCCTAGAAGTTCGGCAGACCGAGAACAATATATGGTGGCGATGGTACAGCACAGGAGATATGCTGACGCCACTTTGTCAGTTTAAACCTCCGGAAGGAGATGAAAGGCCAAGCTGACCACTGACCAAAACATGTCCCCTTGAGGCGATTAACGAAACATCCAGTCCAATACGCAAAGTCATGAAGGGGGGTTTTAGTAAAGGGACAGTATCTTGAAGAGAAAACTAAAGTTCTTGTCTATAGGTTAACTCTCTATGGTAAAGTGCAGCGTGGCAACCCTAGGCTAGTCTCAGGTAGCTAATGAGACTCCATTCACGTGGCTGAAGGTGCTCATTCTGGGAATGGCTGCTTCCCGGTATCTACCGAACTCAAAACCCCTTTGGATACCAACTTGTTGATAAGATTGAACAGCACAAAGTCGCATCCCCTCTTAGCAACCATGTTAACAGTAACTGGCATCATCTCCTCCTGGAACGTGACGTTGCTCTGATAAGTAACCTGCCCAATGGTAACCGTGATATCGACGTCCCCAAAGTAGGATGAAATAGTCGACACCGCTTTGGGTCCTCGAGGGTCCACAGGTGATGCGGCCCCGGGGGAGTCATTGAGGTCCTGCTCGCGGAAAGACGGGAGACCGCCTGTGCCGATGTCGTAGAGCAGAATGGACTCGGAGCAGGAGCTGTTGGTCGAGAAGAGAACTTGTTTGTGCCAAAGAGCTGCATCACGAGTACGATTTGCCATGGCAGACTTGTAGCTACTGTCGTCGACCACTGCATTTCGGAAAAATGATCGGTAAGGCTCGTCGATAGGAGGGAAACCAGGGCTATAGTTGGAAATCAGTGGGTCGGCCGTCTCAGTGATCAAGTCGTGGGTCCAAAGCACGGTGAGGTCATCAAGCATGCCCTGTAACGGGCGGTCTAGGGTCTCCTCGATGGTCTGTGTCAAGTTGATCTTGTCGACACTGACACCAACAGCATCCGTCACATCAGTCAGGAACTTCTGCAGGATAGCTTCAGCAGCTGGGTTCTGCATCGGCAGATGATCAACAGGGTACAGAAGGCGTTTGGGAAATGTCTGGGCATCAGGAACTGACAACGCAGGGAGTCCATTGACCGATGTATCTTGATGAAGAGAAGGGTCGTACCAAGCCTTTGCGAACTTGGCCCACGCAACGGGATCGCGTGCAAAGACTCCAGCGGTATCAGTGTTGAACGCGTTGGTAACGATGTTATCCATGGAAATCATTCCCTGAGAAGGTCTGTTGCCGAAAATGCCAGCGACGGCAGCTGGTTCTCTGATAGATTTGCCGGTGTCGGTACCAACAGCAAAGTCAAGCCAGTCGTAGACAGCGATAGAGCAGGCACTTCCAGCAGAGGATGCAGAGCAGGTCAGGAACGTATCGCCGCGGGGATTGCGAGGGTAGAACGCGTCGTTCCAGTCCCAAGGGCTTTGAGGCGAGGCGAACTGGGCTGTTTTCTGCTTTCCGACTACTACTCCGCCCTGATCAATGATGCGCTGGAGAGCTGGGGCTGTTGTATCAGCCTTGGAGTGGAGGGAGGCGTAGGCTAAGCTACCAGCCGTTGTCTGTATGCCCTCAAGATCGTAAATATCCTTGACTCCAAGTCGCTTTCCAGCAAGAGGTCTGTCATCTTCAATGCTGTAAAGTCTCGAGGGGACAGGGATAGTTGGACCGCCCCATTCTGAGTTTGAATAAGGCAAAGTACGATAGCCATCTCCCGCTTCATATGTGCCGACCATGAATGTTCTGTAGGTGTCGACATACAAGCGGAAGACTTTGCTCAAACTGAGGGTACCGCCGTTTGCAAGACCAAACAGAGGGCACGGAGTCAATGTAGAGTTGCCACAGAGACTTGGGCCATCCTCTCCTCCATAGATGACGGTTGCGTCGATGCTACTAAAGTAGCTCACGACAGAAGAGTCAAGATCTCCTTCATCAGCCGCATTGACAAGAACGGTCTGGAGGAAGGTCTCAGAGAAAACATCATCTTGCTCCAGTGAGATCTTGATGATGTTTTCAAGCTCATCACCAGTGGTACTGGAGAGCAGACCGGAGATGTAGGTAACAGGTCCCTGGGCGGGATCTGAGGAGTATGAAACAGAAGAAAGGATATCAGAGGTGATAGCGAGATACTGCAAGTCATCTACTGAGAAGATTTGGTCTTGGCTATCCAAGAGAATTGAAGAGGTAGAACTGTTGGTAGCGGTGAGGGCTACAATGGCCGTTGGCCAAAGCATTGCAAGAGCGTACTTGGGATTCATGATGATGAAGTTGCTTTGGAATGATAATAGAATTTTTGAGCTGCAGACATTCAGTTTAAATAACTATTCTTGCCATCGTCATCTGAATACCATCACTCTTCTCCTTTCTCCGATGTGTTAGTATACCAGCCAATAGCATTCTTTATTCTTTCCTCTTTCCTCTCCTCTCGCTTAGCTATACCCTGCCTCCGCTCATCTCAAATTCACACAACGGAGGAAACCGGTTTTTTCTGCAAGCTCAATGTCTCAAACGTTGTCATCTTTCGCAAGGTTGTACGGAGCATGTTGCCATGTTCTACATAGATAGGGTAGGAAGACATATCCGCCCACGAATAGAATCACAGCATAGAAGAATTAAAGTTTCGACGCGCTCGTGTGAAGGCCTAGCATCGGATCATGTTGTCTTAACAGGCCTCACCCGATTGGAAGATAGGATTCGGGCACGACTCCGAAGGTGGTATCATGGGTCAAAGCCGACGCTGACAGTTCATTGCGACCCTGGTCTATCATTTGTCCATTTTCTCCCTCGTTCCAGAACCTCTATGCAGGGAGGCATCATCAACTCCGCTGTCCACTGAATAAGAGTGAGTGACATGTAATCCACAAATTGCCGCCAAATCATCGCGGCCCCTCAACTCCAGCTTCGATCGTAAATGACCCTTGCTGTTATATACTGAACCTTGCATTAACACTTCCCTTTTCAGACTTTAGGTTTCCGCGTATGTAGGGTTGGCTATCCACGTAGCTCCCACTTTACGATATGATACGTTGCTGTCGTTGGGGTATTGATAGTAAGTTTACTTTGTCGGTCTGTATATCGCGACGTGATGGCAGAAGATGTGCAATGGAACATGGTCGGTACTGGCTAGGAACTCATGCTTCTACAAGAGAAGACATTACTCTCTTCTGATGTTTGATGTCACTCCACTCATACAGGCTGTTCACCATGCATCAGGCATCAAGAGGGCGCGCACAGGTCTCCCTCTGCACCATCTCGAAGGTGAGGCCAGGGGTTATGAACATCGCTCGTCCCGTCACCGGAAGAGGTTACTGCAGCAAAATGGCCCGGGCGATCCGTTTATGTACTACAACTAACATGTCATTTGGGCACGCTCTCGATTGCCAAGATGCTTTCCACTCTGCATCAATAAGGTCACTGATATCCACCACGGGTGGGAGTTTCACTTTATTATCGCGCAAGGGCCACTGCCATATCTTCTCACAGTGAGAAGAATCCTGAACTGATTATTGACTCGATGCGGAAGATTCCATGCAGCAAAAGATGCTTGCCCAAGTCAGTCGGTACTGAGTCGTTGTAAGTCAAATTTCTGAAAGACAGCTGATGGTCATTCTCGGCAGTTGAGATGAAGACCTCGGCAACAGCTTGATGGTAGGCTTGCCAACTAAGTCGCCAGTAAATAGATATCAGTAACTATCTATAAATTGAGACAAATATGACCTCCATTCCAAGTTATCACTCTCATTCATGCACTCACTTACTTCATACTCATCCACAATCTCTCAATCAATCTTCTCCAATCGTTCACCATGCGTTTCTTCAACTTCAATAAGCGACTCTCACAAGCATTCCAAAAATGATCGCACTATACCTCCCTCGAAGCCAGTCTTCAATTCCCACTTTGCCAAAAGGCAGTCGTCCAAGATCGGCGAGCAAAAGGTTCGTCCCCAGGGCTGGGTCGATACACCTCAGATCGTGTACTCGGCTTGGAACCAGGCTGCGGGTGATATCGATCAGCCACTTGGAACTTTGCCCTCCAACTTCTCTATCGCTCTTGTCGGCGGTGGCATCACCAATGTTGTTCTAGCTTTCAACCTCGTCAAGGCTGGTGCTGATGTCACCTTGATCGAAGCCACTGATGATGTTGGCGGTCGCCTCCGAACCATTCAAACCCCTGATGGTGTCAACGTTGCTGAGATGGGAGCAATGCGCTTCCCCCCTTCTGAGGACCTTCTCTACTACTACGCGAATGAGTTCAACTACACTTTCATTCAGAATTTCCCTGATCCAGGCAAGGTCCCCACCATGGTCTTCTACCAAGAAACTCCTACATCTTGGATCAGTCAAAACGTCACTGTCAAGGGCTTCGAGAAAGTCAGCAACGGCTGGGGTTCACTGATTTCCAAAGGTTTGACTGGTGGTTCTCAGTCAATCACTGCAGCTACGCAACTCACAAAGTGGCTCAGTTCATCTGACGTCGACACGCGCAACCAGGTCATCCCGGAATGGCAAAAGTACCTCGATGAGTTTGGTAACGACAGTTTCTACACTGCTCTCCAGCGCATATTTGGAGAGAAGCACGAGTGGGATGTTCCAGGTGGTCAGGTCTGGACTGAAGATGACTTTGAGCGCTTCGGTACCCTCGGCGTTGGTTCAGGTGGCTTCTGCGCTGTCTACTCTGCTGGCTTCAATTCCATCTTCCGTCTTATAGTCAATGGTCTCGAGTCGGACCAGGCTATCTTTGCGAAGATGACTGACGATGGTCTTCAAGCTACTGGCATCCGGGAATTGGCCAACGCCATTTGGCAAAAGGCTACTGATCTTGGCCTCAAGACCAAGTTTGACACTGTTGCCAAGATCACCAGCGGTGGTGGTGGCGATATTGACTATGTCATTATACAGGAGACTCCTTCTTCTGATAACGGTAATTCTACCGCTGACCAGTCCCAGTATGACTTTGCGGTTGTTGGTACCTCGAGCCGAGCCATGAACTTTGCCTTTGCAGATGTCTCGGACACGACCAACGAGCCCATCATGTCGACTGCTGTCAACCGCGGTATTACTGATCTGCACATGACTGCTTCTTCCAAGCTCTTCATTCGCACAAAGAAGTTCTGGAGTGACCAGCCTGCCGATTTCCCTCGCGTCATTCTGTCTGACACAGACCTTCCCCAGGCTTACACTCTCGACTACGGACACCCAGACTATGGCATGGTCCTTCTCACGTATGCTTGGGAGGATCTCTCGCAGACCATCTTGGCCATCCAAGACCCTCACAAGCTGCTCTCCATCCTCAAGGAGCAGATCGCCCGTATCATGCGTGATAGCAGCTATCCCAACTATGCCGACTTTCTCGACCCCGTCACGGACGATGATGTCTACCTCGTCCACTGGCCCCTCGATCAGTACTCCTACGGTGCATTCTCCCTCGGTCTCCCAGGACAGGATAAGCTCATCTCTTCCATGTTCTATGACTATCAGAAGCTCAACGATACCTCTAGCTCTCGAGTCTTGATCAACAGTGACTGCACGTCATTCCTCGGAGGTTGGGTTGATGGTGGCCTGCAGCCGGCGCATAATTCTATGGCTGCGATCTTTGAGCGCTTTGGCTCTTTGAACCCTGCTGCGGCTGACTTTGCGCCTTCTGCACTTTTGCGTGCTAGCCCTTACCAATACTAATGGAGCGTGTATGATCCTTAGTAATTACATTCTTTACATTCTTGGAGGAGGTTGTTTTATTTTTCTTTATTTACCTTTAGTTCAGTTTCTTTAAGTACTGAATTCCACCTGTTTTGACTACTTGACTAACAAACTTCTATTATCTTTGATCCTGTGACTTGATATTTCTGCTATGTTGTAATTTGAGAAACGTTGGTACTTGGTGCTCTATGTTTTTGCAGCCATGCCGTCATTACTTAACTATCAACTTGGGTAAAGCTGGAATCCGCTCTACTATCTGAAACCGTTTAAGACGTCACTCCTGTCAGATGAAACGCTGACATATTTACCCCAACAGCCGAGGTTTCGCAAGCAAGACAAAGGTCGACCTGTCAGGACCATGGTAGTACAATGACGTGGAAAAATTGTAATAAATTTCAAGAACTCGACATAGCGTGGGCATAAACCATAAGTGAGACCGCAACATCTGCAATGTTAAAACGAGCTCACATAGAGTTACCGTTTCCGATCAGACAAACAAGAGGTCACTGAATACTGGTTCCATGGCCAAAAATGCGCACTACAGGGTAATCTTTACAATAGCCTCCCACTGAGCGACCACTTTGGCGGGTCCCCAAGCTAGTAGACGTACGTGACCTGAAACAAATTCATCTTGGCCCTTGAAACGGGAGTGGGTGACATCATTGTAGCCTTTGTTGGAAATTCTTTCGTTATCTCCGTGCCAAGCCGCATGTCAAGCGGAAGTCAAGGCAATTGTAGTAAGTCTTTCGCATTAAGGGTTTTTCAATGCTGTGTAAGTAACAGACGGACCCTTATAGCATAGATACGTATTAATTGCACTCACCACACGAGCCACTGAGAGGTATATGTCCCCTCTTATTGTCAAAAACCGCCAGTGAGTAGTAAGTCGGATATACCGCCCTATCGGGTAGACAGGTGGAGATGTACTGCCCTGATAAGTGGGACAGGGGCAAAGATGGAGGAAATCTTTATCCGTGGGTCTTTATGTAACGTGATGAATACGATATGCAGTATCAGTGTATAATTATACAATAGCTGCCAAGGCGTTGCCACGGCTGACCCTACTTCGTGGCAATTGGCTTTCGATGCTAGAGCCTGGAGGGAAGCTATAATATCGGCACATGAACATCTTTGCATGTGAACAATGGTCTGTTCCCCTCTTTTAACTAGATTACCCCTTGTTTCGCCCCACTAATCCCTGATCTCATTATTCCAGATGCAGTGGAGAGTCTGCCACGTGAAGCCCAGTGTTTCTATGCATGGCCATTCCATATCACCTGGAAATCCGGAATTACTGGTTCCTTTGGGTGTTTCTTCCGGCACCGGTACTTGTTTTTTTCTCTTTTGAGGTCTTTATGTTCCAATATTATAGGGGCTCAACGTAGCAGGTGCTTGTTCATGATCAACGGAGCCGAGCCGGAGTTGGTCTAGTCAAACGTGGAATTCAACAGAGGTTACATCGGATGTACGCCAAATGGGGCAACTCCCCTGGCAGACGCACACCAAGTCTGTCTCAGATCCTTGGCGAGTGCCGTTGAAATTCCATGAACGGGAGACACTAATTGAATAGTACCGAACCACTAACGCTGGGCGACAGAAAGCCGGACTGACGGACAAACACCGATATAGCGTGTAGTCAAACTGATATTTCTGTCTACATCAAATTATACAGCAAGCTATCTTATCTTGGCTCGCATACGGGGCACCGCAGCCGTTGCAGTCGGACGGCAATACCGCAATTAGAACGCAATGCAACGATTAGTACAGTGCAGGCAGGTATAATACCCAACACAAATACAACAGCAAATCCACCGTTTCATATAAAGGATCCCGTCGTCCCCAGGAACTTGTTTCTTGGCGGGATTCCCATCCTGACAAACTTTATCTGCGCAGAAACCATCAATTGATCTGTCCCCCATTATGGCAGCTCACATTGAGAATCGAGGGCCGCAGCTCATGGCGGTGAATATCACCTTCTGGGCCATGGCTTTTATAACATGCATATTGAGATGCTATGTTCGGCTGTTTATGGTCAATGGGTTCAGGAAGGATGACTGGCTGATGGTCGTCGCCATGGTATGTTGAGCCTCAAGGGGTAACAAGTTCCCAGCAATTGACCTTTCATTTCTCTTAGGTATTCTTCACCTGTTATGCGACCTCATCGACTGTTGGTGTCACGTTCGGCACAGGAAGACACCACGACGACCTCGAAGCCAACCAGATCCACACTGCGATGATGTGCTGGTGGTTCTGCTACCTCGGATACACCCTCACCATGATATCCTGCAAACTCTCCATCGGCTATTTCCTGCTCAGAGTAACGACCGAAAAGGTCCAACGATGGATCATCTACCTCGCCATGTTTTTGACTACCCTCTCGTGCGGCATCTTCTTCTTCGTCACCCTATTCCAGTGTCATCCCATATCGTACTTCTGGAACAAGGACCAAGATGGCAAATGTATTGATCCTAGTGTCGTCATTGGGTTGGCAGCCCTCTACAGTTTTTTCGCTGTTGGTTCTGACCTCGTTTTTGCGCTGCTTCCTGGTTGGATTGTATGGAATCTGCAGTTGCACAAGCGGACGAAATACTCCCTGATCCCTCTGCTCGCTATGGGCTGCATGTACGTCTTCTTCTATACCACAAGTGACACAAATGTACTGACAAGGCATATAGCGCTAGCGCAGCTGTCATTGCTCGTTTTCCATACTTGCATCTCCTTGGAAAGCCCGATTTTCTCTGTAAGCCCATCTGCCCCTGATTACGTGGCAATTAACTAACCTAGTATCACCAGGGAATACCACTGACATCGCCATCTGGTCAACAATCGAGCAAGGATTGGCCATCGCAGCGAGTAGCCTGGCAACCCTCCGGCCTCTGATCAAATATATTGCCTACCGATTGAACTTGACCAGCAAGCCTCCAACACTTGGTCCTTCAGGTTACGGATCATCACCGCGCACTCCTGGGCCTGGAACACCAAGAGCCTTCTCCAGTCGAGAGGCGTACACACTGTCGTCAGTGAGTCGTCAAGAAGGCCATGAGAAGAAAGGGTCGGCGTTTGATTCGAGACAACCAAGTGATCTCAAGCTTGGCATCAAAAAGGAGACCAAGTGGGAGGTCAAGATAACGAAAACAGCCATGAGTGAGAGCGAGGAAGAGCTACACTCGCCAAGAGCATGGAGAAATAACAACATTTAAGACTAACCAAGGTAAACAAATTACGCATGAAATAGCACAGCCATACTTAATCTCTTACATAATAACTCTTATCCATTTATCGGTATATCCTGTGTAGAGGTGCTCCAGGCACTCTGTGATTTCACGTTTTCTGTGACCAATGAATCCTCATTTCTCATACACTTCTATCAGCGCCTCAGTGAGATATTCCGCGACCCCTAATGTACTCGATTTCGGAGTGAGTCTCGGGCAATCTGGTCCCTTGCCCATCCATCTCACACGGCTCCACGTTGACCTGAAACGGTCTCCAGTAGTGAACCCGACCTGGGTCTTCCCCCTCGTAGTCTTCAACTCCGGGGCTTCCGCGGCGCCATCTTCCGGGAGACTGAGGAAAGTATAGCGGGCTCGAAGTCTGCGGCATATATGGAACAGAGTAAGACGATTCTGTCATAGGGGCTGACTGGATATCGTGCTGTGCCTTTCGCTTCCGACGTATTAGCCACAGACCAATAAGAACGGCCAGCACAACAACTCCAGCACCAACAGCGATACCAATAATTGCCCCCGTTGACAGTTGTGATTTCGAGTTTGATCCTCCTTCTGATGCAGCAGCCATAGGATCAATACGTCCATCATCAAGCTTTGTACGCTTGGTAAAAACGGCTTTCATACTGAGCAACGTGCCAAGATCATGATTAACAAAACCATAGTCAGGCTTAAGCTTAGTCGCACCTCCTTCTTCCGCCCCCCCAATAACACTAGACACAAAGCTAGGGACCTTGTACCCGAAGAGACTCGGCTCATAGCCTGCCCAGACCTTCTTGAAGTTCGTTTTGATCTGGTTGCCTAAGTCGATATTATGGACGCCCCAGACTTCTTCAACATCACACGTTTCGTCTTTGGGGAATACTCCACCGATAGTAAGCATTTGCGAGCCTTGGTTGACAATATCGCATGATAGGCTGTGAGATGGGTAGTAGCCTGTCCCGTTTTGGTCAAGAGGATAGCTTTTGATCCATGTGAAAGAAGGTATAGAGAGGATATAGACGTCATCGAACCCAGGCCCCTCCAGACCATGACCCCCATTTATGTATCTATGCAACGTCAACACCCTGAAGCAACTGGTAAATAGTAGTCAATATGAACGGGTCTTACATGTTGTAGCTGCTGTGATCCTCCGCCCATACAGCCCCGGCACAGAATCTTCCCCGACTCTCAGGAATTGTACCATTCGCTTTCTGAACATGCCACTTGTTCGATATCATATCGTAGAGGAATATCTCGTCCAACGGCTGTGAGACCATTGTGCCATTATCGCCAGGATCCTGAAAGCCACCAAAGTAGACCAGCATTCCTCGGTCGCTAGCAGGGATAAATGTCATGACTCCTTCAGCACGTCTTATATCGTCTGGTCCCGATAACTTCGCCCACGTGTTGCTGTCCATCTGATACCGTATGAGATCTGATGTCGCCCGTCGTTCGCCGCTCCAGTCAGCCACCGAAGCTCGTGATAGGTAACCACCATAGTAATATCTAAGGAGGTCAGCATTTCCTTTTAAATAGAGGCCTCTCAATCCAGGAGAGCTATGAACTTACCCCTCTCCTCGCTCCTTTACAGTTGTAGAAGCCCCATAGCTGACGCGCTTGATATCGTCGGAGGGAGGCCCGAAATCATCCCATTGATCGTACCAGATGTCATAGGACATGAAGTTTGAGGTTGTCGGACTGCCGCTAAAGAACTCGCCACCGAAGAGGAATAATCGGTAGTTAACATCATCTGCCCAAAGAGCACCGCCATGTACTGAAGGAATTGAGACATTCTTGCTGAGGTTTGCATGAATCTGCGGCATATTATCCTTGCTATTGTGATCAAGGTCGTGCCATATGAGCCAAGTATCTAGAGAGACTGTTATTTAACTCTATAGAAGAGACTGGTGAGTAGCATACTTGTGTAATTCTTTGGATCGGTCTCTAGTGGTTTCCAGTTGACTAGTCCTCCATCAATGTAGAGTTTTCGATCTACCACTGCTGTCTGGTGTCCAAACCTTCGGCAGAAGTCCTTGATAGGATCATGTTGGATCGAGAGATGAAGATTGGCAACCAGTACTGCAATCGATAAGAACCAGAATTTTGCCGCCATTGTGTGAAGGATATTCTGAGCTTCCTGCCCTGTTAGTAGTGACGTAATCAAGGGAAAGCTTTTGTATTAGCATGACATGTTGGAAGCAAGATCGGGTAAATTACATTGCGGGAGGGAAGATGCAATTTCAAGGGCCAGACAAGACCTTATTATCTATACATTAATCTGTAGTGCTCAGCCCCTTCGACCAAGCTTAAACTAGCTGCTCAGCCCTATAACCAAAAGCCAGAAGGTTGCCTGCAGCCTGTGACAGTCCAAAAATGGCCTTGCACCAATCTCGCCCAGTTGCATCAAAACCACGCTATGGCGGTTTATCCACTGGCCAGTGATCTTAACAAAGGGCAAAGCTCGTGGTAGAGAAGGTCACATCGCTCTGTGGCCAAGCCACCACCAGCTCGATAGCAGCTACATACTTGGAGGCCAGTTTTAAGAAACTCTCCGTTGTGATCCGGAAGTTGGGGTCATCTCAGTTTTGTACCCCACCTATAAACAGAAGTACAAGAATCTCGACCAAGTTGCTGCGGCCTCCAGATTGCACAACGGATCGATGGACTGCTCCTTATAGCTGTTCTTGAGAATAATTTTAATCTAGTCTTGAGTCCATTCATTCCTGGACTAAAAGATAACATATAAGTTGACTGAGGCTTATATGTAGGACGCGCCCGCCAAGTTCCAGCGGTTGATGTCACTCCGCAGAAACGCGGAGATGCCGCATGTGGATGACCATACCTCGATTACGTGGGGGCATGTGAATCAATTCGTCAGACCGAAACGAGAATCACTAATCGCTATCATCAGCACATTAACACTTCCATCAATTTATTACTATACTGCTACCGTTCATCTGCCCATGGGAGTGCCACTTGGGTGCTGCAGCAGGTTCCTCATTAGCAGATTATTTTATCCCGTGCCCGACCAAGACTCGCAAAATAATTTATCAAGTGAAAGCTGCTGTAAAATTAAAAGGCTTTATTTTCCTCACCGTGCTTTGCGGTCTTCTAGAGCTTTGGTCCAAAGGCTAGTCATCAATTCGCATACCTATACATTGGCAGCGCATCTCCACGACTCAGGGCTGGATACAGGCGAGTCCCCTGTATTTCAGGGCCAGCTTCACCCGGTTTCAGCTTACCTATTTCGCTGGCGCATAGGGGTGCCAGCCAGCAAAAAGTTCAAGCAGGCCGTACTTCAGCAAGTCCGTATAAAATACCAAGCCATTCATGGGGGTTTAAGTTGTGAGACTCCCGTCTGGGGATACATTGCCAGGCACCCACTACATCGTAGGCTCATTGTCCGTTGATGTGGTTGGCTGCCTAGAGTAACATGGCCTCCAATACCATTGCGACCTTGTTTCTCTTTCTCGTATAAACCTTATATCTTGCAAAGTTTCGCCTCGTAATTGGTGATACGGTTGCTACGGAGTATACACCTAAATATCAATGCATTGTATCAAAGCGCAATGCTGTTAGCAAAAAGTGAATGCATTAATAAGTAACTCAATTTTCTCACGGATTTTCATTTTAATTTACCAGATTCACGGTTGAGGATAAGCTTTTAGCTACAGGTCTTAGCTGCAAGTAGCACATGGCGGTCAGACAACTCAAAAGTCTCGTACCTCACTAAGAGAGTAGTATCGAGAAAATGACAGGGTAGTCCTTGATGGGATCGCCGATTCAGAAAACATGGCGGTCTGAGCAGATCGAATGTTTCTTCAAAACGAACGCAAAGACCTCAAAATCCGGGTTGTCTCATCAGCAACCAAGCTGTCTACATACTTATTAAAATAAATGTTCATTCTTTGGGATAATATGCACAGCAACCCCATCCTACAGCGAAAACAATGCTCGATCGCTATGGCCCAGCCGAGACTTCGAGGCTGCTGTGATAGCTGCACCAGAAGCAAGATCAAATGCAGTGGTGAAATGCCTTCTTGCCAGCGATGTCGGATGCGAGGCCTGGACTGCGTATACAGCAAAGCTCGGCGAGCTGGTCGTCCGCGCCTCAAGCCCAAACCAAGCAAAGCATCAGTCACATCTTGTGTGAACCGGGAACTACAAAACAATCTCATCCGTTGCCACGACCAATCAGCCAATGGCCTGCCATATCAGGAAACCGAATCGTTGGTCTCACCAAACCCAGATATGCTTCTGTGCTCTCCAGACTCCCAGGACATCGCATTATTGCTGCATGATCCTTGGACTTCAACATCATGTCCCAGCTCAGACGCCACAAAGCCGCCGAGCGTCTGCGACTTGGATGGCTTAATGTTGCAGGATATGCTGTTGAATAACGCTGAAGGATTTAGCTTGTCGTCTCCTAGGAGTCTGAAACAAGAATGGACTCAAGGCAACGTTCCCATTAGCGATGAATTAGAAGATACATGTCCAGGATATGGTGCAACTAGCGAGTATCTGACCAGCCATACTTTCTCAAGCCCACCAGGGCCTCACAAAGTCACGAGCCAGGATACAGACAAATCGAATTGCCATCTCTCAGAAGTCGATATGGAGATCAACTTCATCATGGCCACTATCACGGACATCGCCAGTCGACCAATTGAAACATATCACCTCGACGATCACCCATGCACAACCTCGTGGCCACAGCTACTGAGCAAAGCCCAGATACTTATGTATATCTCTGGGTCAGGAAACTCATCTTCTCTACGTCTGGATGCAGTACTACTAGTCTGTTGGGCAGCCGAGCAGGTGCAGAAGCGAATTTCGGCATGTCCAGTCTGTATAGCTCGAAGCATGGAACTGTCTAGCATGCTGGCTTTACTGTACGACTGGATCTCGTCTCAAATTGCAGACGCTCTTGAGAATCCTGCCATGATTCAGAACTGTTGTCTGAGAATCGGCAATTCGGTCGTGACAGGGCAAAATGGCCTTATCGGCACATATGAGCTCATCAAATACAGAATCACGAGAGCGATTCATATGATAGAGAACATAAACAGCACAGTCTCTACCATGGGAGAGGGGGATAAGGGTCAAGTATATGGAATGGCCCGACTTGTGCTCGAAGTGGCTGAGAGTCGATTAGAAGCCATCTCGGGAATGATAGATCTTTTGGAAAGCGAGCAGTTCTGCAGTATATAGGAGTAAAGGAGAGTATGGAGAACTTAGATATTCCGTAGATGGCGTTCTTATGGATAACTGACTGTATGTTCCCATAAATACGGGGCCATGAAAGGACTAGATGGAAGAAATGTATATATTGGTTGCCCTAAATATCTGTCTGTTTCCTCTACCGCACTAGGTCCGTCTGAGAGTATCATATCCACCTTGAGAATCATGGAAAGTGTAAAGATGTTCTTGCTACCATAATCTTGACACGGTCCATCGCCAGTTCAATTTCCTGATCAAATCGCTGAGGATGATGGATATAGCCTGTTGTCCCCAACTTCCGCTTCATACCGATCCACCGAAGATTCTGCCCAATTCTTATAGCTGCATCTCTGATAAGCCTTCTTGCGATCAATGTCCTCTCACTATCATTGAGGATAAGATTTCCGAACACGAATTCTTCCTTTACAGAATCCCCGGGCGCCTGCGGGCTTCTCTCTGATCGGTCAGACGATAGGTAGCTGTTTTCTGATGTTTGAGCTTTTGTCATTGAACCATAGGCTCTTTGCTCTGCTTCGAGGAGCTGCAAAATGTCTTTCAAGGCCAAGAATGCATTTTGGATCGTCTGGGCATCGTTTGAACATTGAGCGCATGCTCGGATGGCCACTAATATTGTTGTCGTTTGTGTATCGAGATTCATAACAGAGCCAAAACTACTCTTGTTGCCCCGAGGATGATCAATCGTGGAAAATGAAGTGCCGCTGTGGCATAGGCAGGGTGCTTTGTCAGACACTTTTTGCTGGTTGTTTACAAACATCGAGCTACAAAGTTGCGTCTTTGTTGGTCAGAGGCTAGTGGTTTAAAAAAGACAAGAAGAGGAACTCTCTCACGAGATTCGATATTTATTATTGCAAGGAATAAATGGCATAGGTGATATACGGCTTAGATTAGAACGACCAACGTGACAGGTACGTAGTTTTGTTTTTATGGGCGGCTTGAACTTGACAATGACAGGGCTGTTTTCAATCGTTAATTTGAGCCTATCATTGCCATTGTTACCTTGGCGGAAGCCTACTTGACTCAGTTGCCTCGGCAATGGAGGCTCGGCAATCACCTAAACTTCAGAACTCCCGCAGATTTAGCCAGGTACTCCTAGCTATGACATAGTTAGTGAAAGTATAATAATCTATTTATAACTTCTATATAACTTCTGGACGAAGTCAAAAGGTCTATATGCGATAATATCTATAAACTAAACAAATGCAGATTTATCTAGTCCACCACTTTTGGCTCTTCAAAGTCGCAATTCCAAAAATCGAGGTCCAACTCAAAACCCCCAACTGAAACATCCCCGCCAGCCAGGAAAGCATCAATCGCCATACCAGTCTCCCACTTGTGTGATAGATCTGTAGCCCACCAACATCAGAAACATATTCTGTATCTTTTTCTCGAAGAGCGTCTGGAATAAGCATGAAGCTCCTCCAAACTGTCAGGATCGAGATCTCCAATAATATCCAAAGCGCATGTCTGGGGTAAAGAATCACACATCTCAGTAACGTGTAGGTGACCAAGAGCATCAGTGGTCCTTTTAGCCAGATGCAAGCCACGTTGATCAAAGGATATATGCTCCCTGTTCCGTCTTTGGCGATCAAGGGTTCGTCTTCCTGTTTTTCCTTATCCACAAACTCTGAAGATTGAACGCGTGTCGGCCGCATCGCAAGCCATAGTTTCAAAGTCTTTTGCACTGTCAAGGCCGGATATCCCATGCAGAGAAAGGTATAGTTAGTACGCTCCCATCGAGAAAACATAAGCAGCGCCTTTTCGAGTGTTTCAGGGGCCATGGTATGAACGACAGCGTTACTCTGATAAACCGTTCTCCAACCGTCACAGAGAATACGGTATGCGAGCTCCATATCTTCACCGTGCTTGAGAGGTGAACCAAGGAAGGTGCTTGTGCATAGCCTATCGACATGGGGTTGGACTGCATCTGCACGAAATGCGGAGAAAGCACCTGGAAGGATCGTGACAAACCCCTCAGCTGAAAGTGCTGAGCGCGGTAGGTTACCGATGTGATCAAAGACGATATCGAGGAGACGCGGCAAAAGGCTCTTGAATGAGAAGATGCTGCTGCTCGAGACGTTCAAGACAGCCAGGTGTCCAGCGACAGCACCGATTGAAGGATCCTTCATCAAAGGACTCACGATGTTGCGAAGTGCGCCTTTTTCCACGACGCTATCTGAGTCAAGGGATATGATGATGCTTCCAAGTGCAGCAGCGAATCCCGACTGGATGGCTTTCCTTTTGCCCATGTTGACAGCATGCTGTAAGAGCCGAAGTGTTATGCCGCATGTCGAGACCGAGCCTGCAGCCTTGTTGACGTGTTCCCATGTGTCGTCAGTAGAGCCATCATCAATGACAATCAGCTCAATCCTCTCTTTGGGATAGTCTGAGAGCTCGATAGACTTTATTGAGTTTTTAACAAACTCGGACTCGTTGAAGACGGGTATGACGATGCTGATGAACGGTAGCTTGTCGTCTTTGGAGGCAGCCTGCACAGGTTCATATCTGATCCAACGCCATACCATGTGCACGTACTCGACCTTGTAGAAGATGGCGATAAGCTGCAGTACTTTGGCGGGCAGCCCAGTGAAGATTGGAGGAGGAGTTGGCCATGGTATACAAGATAGTAGAAGCAATCCTAATATGTTCAAGATGCCAAACGAAAGACGAAGATGAGAGTCTGTCATTTTTCAAGTGCCACAGGTTGGTTCTTAAGTTACAATTTGAATGCATAGACAATGAACCGAATTACTTCCAAGCCGTGAAGCTAAAGAAGTGGCAGTGAAGGTTGATTTTGTTGCATTTAGCCTGTGGCGAAAAATAGCCCGAGCGTTTGGTAAGTTTACCGATGAAGCTCAAACTTTCTTAGGTTCGTGTGTTAGTCGAACAGCACTGCCGTCGGGTCGTTTTTCATTGGTCGTGAAAAGATCGTAAGGATAAGAAAATGTTGAGATTAGATGTCAGGTCAGAGCCCCCATAGGCTCGCCTCAAGTTGAGGATTTGCCGAGGCTCTACATAGCCATCGGGCTGCCCGCTCTAATGTAACGCGGAGAGAGGAGGTCGTAATACGAGTCAAGAGTCTATGGATATCGCGTCTATAAAGTCGATGAAGACTTTGTGACAAGGGTCAAGGCTATCGAGCTTGAGTCGGCACACCGCACACTGCAAGAGTATCACACCGCCTCTTTCAATACACCTTCAAATGCCAGAAAGATCTAAGGATAATGATATCTTTCGGGGCATTAAATCACTATTCAGTGAGTAGGCGGTGACAAGGAAAAATACGATGTTTACACAGATGCAGACCTTGATCGGGTTGTTCAGATCTGATGCCTAAAAATGCAATGCTTGCAAGCTGCTGTATAGCTTACACAGAATGGCAACACCACAACCTCTTACATATAGATCGAATAAAATAAAGTAACTCAATTAGGAGTGTGCCCAGAGTAGAGATATGTATAGTGACATATGTATTTTGTTTAAATCTAGGCTACATTGTATACAAACCTGTTTCAGACCAGCGACAACTCTTTTGACTCCTCCTGTCGGGTGTAAGCAACAAGCTGACTGGTAAATCGTTCAGCAGCCGTATCAACGTATCTCGTCCATATCTCAGCAAATCCATATAAAAGACCAAGCCAAGCCGGTAGGCAGAAAAGCAACCACGTGTTACCCGCATATTCAAGTTTTGAAGAAGCGCTTCCTGGCTGCTGAACCTGTAGATTGGGTGACAAAGCATTGCCATATACCATCCATGTGAGCAACCATCTTAGCAGCGTGCCGTGGAGCAGATACACTGAGAAAGATCGCTTCCCAAGCCATACCAGGACACGATGGGATAGAATGTCTGTATACCCAGGGAGTAGGGCTCCGCCGATTGTCAAAAGGCAGAAACCAAAGGAAGATGCAAATTTTGGAAATTCTGAGTCCTTGGGGACAATCGCTGATAGGATCTGATTTTGCCAACGTGACCAGGGGGCTAGTTCAATACGGCTTTCAGGGAATGATGCCATGAACAGGCCGACTGCTATGGACAAGAAACCGAAGAAAGGTATGTACCGAGACTTGCTCCATGAGATGCGCTGAGAGAGTCTAGAGTTATGCAAGTCATTCATAAAGACTCCCCACCAGAATTGCATGAAGTAAGCTATAGATCTGTCAGCCATGTCCGTGGGTTTGCTCTAGAAGAAGACTACTTACGTCTTCCGCAAGCCCAAAGGTAGGCCCATAGAACTAATGATGCACCCATTCTAAACTTTGCTTGGACCTTTGCAGTTGCAGAGACGAACAGTAGCACATACATTCCACCTTTGAACAGTTCAAAGAGCGTGCCCTGATGACGGTCGTACTTATTTCCACCTCCAGTCCAGGTCTTGAATATTGCGAAAAAGAGTTCTCTGATTGCCGAATACAGCGGTAGCTTGTCTTCGACGGTCTGAGTCAGATAGTAACTCTCCGTCGTCTTTGCAGCCTCGAAAAGGCCCAGTTGTGTCGCACTCCACGCCAAAGTTGTTGCAATGGCACTTGGATACAGCAAGCGTGGAAGTCGCCTGAGCGCAGACTTGGAAACGCAACTCCAGCCTGCTTCATAATTTCCCCGTCGAAAGAGAGATAGCGGCTTCAATGCACATACATAACCTGTGACGTAGACGAAGATGATGACGCCTAGACGGCCTTGGATCATGATACGAATGAAAGGGAGTTGGAGCAATCGTGGTCTCAATCCTTCGCCAGAAACGGGAGAATAGAGATCATAATCAAAGGCACGTGTGACATGGGCGATCCAAACCAATGTTGAAGCGATGCCACGAAGACCCTAATACTCGTCAGTTTCGGTGTCATACTTGGCAATCAAGGCGGGATGATAAGTTGTCTATATTATCACCGCTTTGGCTGCTGACATACCTCAATCCACTGTACGTGGCCTTCCTTTCTGGAAGTCATATCTGCTTGATGATGCATGAGGAATAATGAGAGAACAATGTCTAGAAATCTAACTGAAGAGAGCACAAGAAAGCTGTTAGGTGTTGGTAACTCACATAACTATTCCTACTATGGTTTCAGTTCTTTAAGAGGGAAGTAATGCCATAGCCACACATCAAGGAAAACCTCCCGATTCTGAAACTACCAGTGCTTCCATCGCAAGCCTTACCTCGTCGCCTAGAAAACCCACTTGCCTGTCCCTACCGCACTCTGCACACGGAATTGCCGTGATGTTACATCGAGAAAATATTGCCCGAGAGCCAAAGCTTAAATCCCACCAAATGGCACTTGCTGTTACATCGCTACCAGGAACCAGGTTCATGCACAGACGCGCACACGTTTTTCACTCCGCCACTTAGGGTTTAGTAGTCCCCAACTCTGAGCGCCCGTAAAGATATCAAAGGCAATGATGTGAGGAAGGTGACATTGGAATTGCCGGACCGACGTGATGATGAAAGGTTTTCTTCCAGCGGTGAAAGATGTTGCCTTGCAGTTGGTAGAGAGAAATGCCGGTTGCCGAGTGAGACCTCGGGTGGAATGCTCGGAAGAGTGTATGGCACTTGTGAGGCGCAGATCTACAGCAGGTCTTGTGACTTGCTGTAGATTTATACAAAGGTGGGTATGCTTGAATAACTCGTATTCTGAAGTTTTGCTAGACTCTTTTCGCCTTTAGTTTTCTCATCTACTCACACCACAAAATCCACTCAAGTCATGTCCAGTTTACAACCAGCCCATAAGGGGATCTTGATTCTATTCGGAATCGCTCTAGTTTTGTTCTAGTAAGGTGCACATTTCAGTGAGTTGAAGCTATTCTAATCTTTGCCAGCTTCTCTGGAAGCTCAGACTATGGTTCATCCGTCACTTTGAGCCAACGCACAAAAGTATACAGTGAGTCCAAACCACCGTATTTCACAACAATGAAAGCCCTTGGCTAATATCTGTAGGAAGATGTGTTACTCCTCGAACCATCGCCCTCACATATGATGACAATCCCGATGAGGGGATATACGATCTCCTGGCGCTCTTGAAGAGCTACAACGCAACGGCGACATTCTTTCCAAATGCTCCTCACCATTACAATACGGTGAAATTGGATAAATACGTGCATGCTGCACATACAGCCGGGCATCAAATTGGAATCCATACGTTAGTTTCACCAGGTCTTCTGCAGTCTATCCAACTAATTAATGCCCATTAGGTGGGACCATATTAACCTAGATAATGCTGGCCATGATAAGGCATTAGAGAATATTGTATGTTCTGTATACCTTAACTTGTATGTATTATTTGACGCTTACATATTGCAGGAAAAGATGAATGCATGGTTGTGTGATGTAATTGGATCGCGATCCAGTTTCGTCAGGCCCCCATATGGAGCATGTGAAATGGACTGCAGAATGACCTTGAATGGCAATGGGTATAGCATTGTACAGTGGAATATGGACACGTTGGACTGGATCTTTGGAACAGATGATAAGTATGAGTCCACCATTGAGCTCATCAAGAGTTGGGTAGGCAACCAGCCCGACATCGATAAGGATGACTACACAGGGCCCATCGTCTTGATGCATGCCCGATACCATACAAGCGCTACATTCGTGACGCAACACTTGCTGGATCTTTTTACCTCGAAGGGTTTTAAATTTGTATCTATTTCGGACTGTTTAGGTATTGATAAAGAATGAATCTACTGCATTAGCTGTCGTCGACGCTTAGTATCAAATGGAGCGTGCATAAGATAATTTCTACTTATGTATCAACTGGAGAGCAGATCACATTCCCATTCCCAAGTGCTCGTGAGATTACATACGTTCGTCTGTCCCTGGGTACACAGATGTATGTAATCTGCGGTGATCTTATGCATGAGAGATCAATTCATCCACCTTTCTAATCAATAGATAATTTGTCTTCTTAATTTAATCCTTTTTAACTAATGTTTCCCATAAATCCCATCCATAACAATGTTTTCAAATAGCAATACAAGCAGAGGCAGGGTGTGGATTTCCCTCTATCCATGGATCCTAGGATCATCATTAGGTTCTCTATGTAAGCAACTTCAACTTGGTACAACACGCCTTTAAATACATGTTACACAAGGCAAACACATTGTCAGAAAGAAATATGTACTTGGCATTGTGATGTAGCACAGCTATCTGGATCACTAGACTTGAAAACTCCGTTCATACAACCGCCTCTCAACTTAAAACACTATCGTCAATATCGATACCGGGACTTGACCTTATCAGCTCCTAGTCATGCTAAATGGTGACTTAACAGTGGTTCTGTCCGTTGCCGGTGAAGGTTCCAGACTGGTAAGCACCACCAGCGTTACCAAGGCAGTCAGCTACAAATCGTTAGCAACGCTTCTTATACCTCCTCCATTTCTTGCCAAACTTACCAACAGTGACGAGCTTCAGGTTGTTCTGCTTGGCCCAGTTGATCAACGCAGGAGTGAGAGTCTGCACCGTGCTGGCGTAGGTCTCGTGCATGAGGGGAATGTGGCCGTTTCCACCAGCACCAGCCTGCTGGAACTTCTGCAGACTCTGCGACGCGGACTGACCATTCCAGTCGCCTGAGTCGACATCGTCGGTGATGACCTTGTATCCGAGCTGCTGCATGGTGGGCAGGACGTTACCGCCGGTGGCGAGGTAAGGAGGTCGCATGTAGGCGGGCTTCTTGCCGATGATGTTGACCAAGGCCTGCTCGACCTTCTGCATCTCCTGCTTGAGCCCGTCGGTGCTGAGACTGCCGAAGTTCTGGGGGTGAGTCCAGGTGTGACTGGCGATCTGGTGGCCAGAGTTGTAGGCCTTCTTGATGGCGGCCTGCTGGTTGTAGATGCAGCCGTAGAGCGTGCCGGTCAGGAAGAGGGTGGCCTTGGCACCAGCGTTGTTGAGGATGTCGACGAGCTGGCTGGTGTACTGTCCAGGGCCGTCATCGTAGGCGAGAGCGAGGACACCGGGTCTGGTGCATTGGCGGATGACAACACCAGCTGCCTGACGGTTGAAGAGCTCAACGGGGTCCTCGATAGCAGCGCCGGCAACGGTGCCAACGAGCAGGATAGTGCTCACAGCAGTCTTGAGGAATGACTTCATGTTGGGTGAATATGTACGAAAAGATAGATATATACAAAAGTGAAGAAAGAGAAGTGATTGACGACGAGGTAAAGCAATCTTAATTCCTGGTGCCAAGGAGTGTTTATATAGGGATGATTGCTGAACGAGGTATTGTTTCAGCAAACAAATTCTCCAGTTGAGCCGGCCCGAAACTATTCCTCCCTGGGACCACAGCATTGCATAGATCAATCCAGCCTTTGACCCTCAGTCCAGTGGGAAGATGTCCTGTCCTGTCCTGAAACGCTGCTATGTGTCTTCAGGCTAAATTCGCGACCCCCTGTGCCCCTAGCAATTAAACCACAAACGGACGGAATAACCCATGATTCGACGGGTGATTTCAGGGGGGGTCATCGATACAGGGCAGCTGATATACAGCCGGGACCTTGAACTGGAACAGCCACGTGGTTCGACAATGCGGAGACGCGTTGTGACATGTTGCCATTCTGAGCTTCAGCTTTGACTTTATTCGACGATCCGGGCATTGTTCCTCCGGCATTGCAGTGGAAGCGGTTAAACTGGGACGGACTGGTTTCATCCAAGCCGTGGCTCCACAGGCAGATCCACAAGGAGATATCACTAATAAAGGGTCAGCTTCCAAGTAAATTGTCAATTAATTCGGCATTGAACTTGTCAGGCCCTCCTTCATTTTACGTATTTTACCCGGTGGCAAAATGCAAAACTAAGCACAGATATTAAACCCCAGATCTAATATGACCCATGCCCCTCATTCTTCTCAGCACCCAACCCTCTTCTGCACTGATATTGTAACCTCACCCACTTAGCCACGCCATTTATGCCGACTCGGAAGGATAATCGATCGTGAAGTTGCCGAAAAACCATGCGCATTTCTCGGAATGTCGATACCCGCACGGCTATTCCCAACTTTTTCTATGGGGATGACCTCATCAAAGCTTGGAACCAGGTCTCCGCACTTTTCGGGCGTAAGGATGTCCTCCAACGCGGACAAGATGGTCTACATCGGAAGTGTTTACATAGTCGGGGCTTGCATCTGCCAAGTCCGTCAGGCCGCAAAGACGCATTGCGGTCTCCAGCTCGTCTCGTAGAACTTAGGTAATGTCAGTAAGGCCATTTGGGCTCTAGGTGATGATGACTTACTATTGAAGGCGTGTTCAACGCCGTCTTCTCCGTAGCCTACTGAGTAAGCAAATGGTCTTCCGAGACCGACAGCGGATGCTCCAAGACAGATAGCTTTGAGAACATCGGAACCTCTTCTAAATCCGCCATCAACTAACACGATGAGCTTGTTGAACACTTCGGGGCAATTCTTGTGAAGCTCCAAGAGTAGCAGGATTGACGGGGGAGCTGTGTCTGCTGCGCGACCTCCGTGATTGCTTAGAACAATACCTTGCACGTCGTGTTGCATAGCCAGTTTAGCATCTTCCCATCTCTGAATTCCCTTGATGACAATCGGGACGTCGACCTGAGCACGGAGCCAGGTGATATCATCCCAATTCAGAGACGGATCAATGAACGAGCCCGTCTGACGTGCCAGTCCAGATCCTTTCCAATCTTCCCCTGGTCCGGCGTTCTCGCTTTTAACCCTCTCGTCAGCTTCTCGCTTGGAAACGACGGGTAAATCTGCTGTGACGAAGAGTGCCTTGATCTTGCCGGTTTTTGTGACCTTTCTCAGCAGGTATTCGGACAGTTTTCGGTTCTTGTTCACGTATAACTGGAAAAAGGCTCGTTCCGGCGTGACGTCAAGAACATCTTCGTGCGGAAAGGATGAGGGTGTCGCCAGTGTCTGAATGATGCCTGTCTTTGCCGCTCCTTTAGCTAATGCGAGCTCTCCTTGTTCACCACCAGTCAAGGCTGCGCCCGTCGGTGAGATGTATACCGGCAACTGGAGATTGCACCCAAATAGCTCAGTTGCGGTGTTGACTGTTTGGACGTCTCTCATGACTGCTGGCCGCAGCCAGATCCGTCCCAGGAATAAGGCGTTCGCGTCGCGGGTGATATTATCGTTCGCTCCTCCGCTGATATACGCCCACTCCTTTTTTGCTAACGCTGTTGATGCTACGTTCTCAAAGTCGTGCAAGTTGATTATGTCGCGAAGAGGAGGTCTCTCATTTGCATTTCCTGGTTTGGTCTTTGCTTGTCCATTGGCTTCCGATTCCTTCTTCCTGTTGCTCTTGGACGCTTTGAGGGATCCGAGATGATATTTGGCATCTAGTGCTTTTTGTACCAATGAAGGCGCGTGGAAACTGTTGTATTCATCACTGGCATCCTTGCCGGCATACTGGTAGATGACTTTGTTGCGTTAATTAAGAAACATGCGATAATATCGGACAGCTGTTGACGACTCACTCTCGGCACCTCCTGGGTGGTCTGGTGCAAAATCTGTAAAGTCATAGACTTTATCATTAATCGCTAGCCAAAGGTCATCCGGCGTGTTATGCACGGCGAGATCCTCCTCGGAAAATTCTTTGGACATTGCTTGAGTTAATTGAGAAGCGGTATTAATGCAGTGAGTGATAAGAGCGCCCCTCTCTCATACAAAAGGCCTTCCAAGAATGTATTTAACATGTCGGAATTGTCAATTGCAAACGGAATTCTGGGATTCAGGTACCCGGAAACTATATCCTGTGTTCCGATTGGTGGATCTGGTGCACCCCGCATCTGTTTCGGGTTCCGTCCGAGGCACAGTCTTTTGCCTCTCGGATCCTACCCGGGAGCCTTTAATAATTTTAATGTATTAGGTGCAGCCTGCTATTATTCGGCAAACACACTGGTATATACTGAAATGTTATCATAGTAATCTCTAATTATTTAATATATTGTTAAACAGAACTGGATTGGTAACCTACTTCACTCTAGTCGTTGTTGCAAATATAGCAAACCGCGACCTAACTATTCTAAAAAGAAAAATGTTGTGGAATGAACTGGAATTAGTGGGACTACTACTACTAAGAAAACAGAGTAAGAAACTTAACTCCCACTTATATAAATATCCACGTCGATAATTCTTAATAAAACCAAGCAGTAAGCAGGTGTCACTATGTAAGCAAAAAACATTCTGTCTGGGCCGATGGTACGACAAATCACTGGAACATCTATAATCCGAATCGCGTCGATGAAGCTTATCTTAGCATGGTTTCCCTTAACCGAAGCGGATCACATACCCACCAATAAGCTCGTCATTTAAGTACAAGCTAAACTCTTTCTGCAATGAACGTCAACTAGCACAAAATGGTACCGAGCAGGTGGAAAGCTGAAGTTCCTGAACTGGCATGCAAGCCAAGCTAGTCGTCAATAGCTTGCTAAGCCTGTGTCACTATATGTCACTATTTGGCCTAGTTGAACGCCTTAAAGGTCTCGATCAACGCCCAAACAGATCGAGACCAAAGCCACGAGAAAACACATTGCTCACATGCCTGACTTGAGTTAATAACAATGCCTAGCGATATTTCTTATAAAGACAGTGTAGTCTGCAAAAGCGTTTAAACTTTTATTTTACCTTTTTATTAGAGACTGTGAGAAGACAGAGACCATATCTATATCGTCTAATCGTCAACATGGTCAAGATACAGCTTTTCTACTCATTGGCAGTTGCTGCCTCAGCTCTGGCTGCACCCTCTGGAATCCTTAGCGATCTCTTTTCGTCTCTCGATAAGCGAGCTTGCACCAATCCTTCAAACCTGCTCAAAAACGTCGGCTTCGAGTCAACATCCATTAGTAAGTCCAGTCGACAATTAGCAACACAATCCCCAAACGTCTTCATCAATACTTAGTAATTTCATTTACCCACATTTAGATGACTGACTAACATGTACCAGATCCATGGGTCTACGCGCCGTACTATCCCAAGCTTACCAGTCTGAAGATTGTTGATTCTGGCTACAAGAGCAACAAGGCTGTCCAGCTCTCTGGTCTTGCCAAGGCACAGGATGAATATGGCTATAGCACTCTCAAACAGAACTTTACCAACTGCAAGCTTGGAAAGTACGATCTCTCATGGTCCATGTACCTCCCCAAGGGTGCAGCTCAGGGCCTGGATCCTCGCAACCCCGGAATGACTATCTGGATCTACGATAGCGCAGGCGATGGCCAAGCAGGAACACTCAAGTTTGGACCCAACTCCTTCAGTAGCTCACTTGGGTATCCTGTGAAGCAAGCGACGTATAAAGTGGATCAGTGGGTGAATATCTCGTTCACATTGCCTTATCCTATCCATGTTGGCAAATGTACCTTGGTCATCAACTGGACTGTGCCAGGCCAAGAGAAGGGTAAAGGAGATGGGAAACTGACGCTCAAGCTCGACAACTTTGTGTTGAAGCCTGCGAAATAGATGAGTTGGCTCTATGTTGTTGAATGAATTAGCCCATGAGAGACATTTGTGCATTTGGTCTTTCTCCATGGGTTCGGTAACAGCAAGAACGCTGTAGAGATACAGCTCTTATCTGAGGGAACAGGATAAGCTCCTTCGGGGCCCTGAATCATTATAAGGACCATGGTTATAATTTCTGTTGTAAATATCTATTCAACGTTCTATATCAATATGCACATGTTACGCTGCAGCTGCAGCTATGAGTGCCGCACCAGTCCCAGATCCATCTCTTGTAAGCTCTATTTTTATCCTCGCTTCATTCGCCTTCCCAACCACTTCAACGTCTTGAAGAGCAGTCCGCATAAAACTCTCGAAAGCAGTATGGAACTCGAAAAGTGAGCCATCGACCGCAATATCAATCACCTCATCTGCTATTTCTGACGTCTCGAGAGTATCTTTGGAGTCACATGATGATCCGCTTGTCGAAGTGGGTGATGGTTCCTCTGGACATATGCAGCCAAATATGCGTCGTATGAATCGTGTGAAGGTATTCCGATGGCTACCAGTCTGTGTTGATGTTGACTTCTCGTGTATTTGATGCGTATGAGCTCCCATGCCCGTCTTCTGAGACATGCTTGAAGTGCCAAGCCTCCCGGACTGTATGAGGATTGCAGCAAGACCAGCGCCTACCAAGCGAGCTGATCGTTTCACGATAACAGTAGCCAGCAGCTGGATAGTTTGCAAGTCCTTCGATGTCACACCTGTTGCTGCTAGCGTCTCGGTGATGTATGACAAAGCTGACGGTGAACTCTCCGCTGTTGACTCTGCTATCTTGGATAAGAATGAACTCTCAACGCCCATATGCATGTTAACAGGGCTTCCATCCGGAAATGACATGTCTAATGCACCGTTGCGCATCAGGTCCAAGAGCGATAAGCGAAGTAGCTCCCCGAGATACATGCCAGAGACCATCTTCTCAAGGAGACCACACCCAGGATCTGAAGAAGACTCGTCGACGAGCTTGTCGAACCGTGCTTGCGGAAGAACCTTGAGTCCATCGTCCCATGATCCCCATTCTGTATTGATCACCATGACCCCATCGCAGTTAGAGTGTTGTGCGCCATTGGCTGTTGTGTCGAGTCTTTGAACGTTGGCGATGCGCTCAATATATGCAGCATTTGTGCCGGTCCCGAGGATTATTGACGCCAAGGTAGAGTTTTTCGTTTTCGAAGTATATGCCCTAGTAAGAAGTGTTCCGACTGCGTCGTTGGCTAGAACGCAAACGCTTACTGGTAATGAGATCTCGTCAATCGCCTCCTGTAGTAATGCGCAAGGATCTTGGCCCAGGGTGCTTGGGATATCCCATCCTTTGTCCCAGTGGACGAGGGTGCCGCTGGAGATAGAAGTCTGTTCACAAGTGAAGCTGAATGTGAAGCCAAGGTTGAAGGAAACCTCAGAATTCTCACTACTCTCGCTCGTATGATCGCGAAGAAGGTCTTGAATCTTCAAGGCGATGAAATGGAATAGAGGTTTGTGACTTGAGTGTACTCGAATATCATGCGGGACAAGGTGCTTCCTCTGAAAGACATCGAAAGTCGAGTCGCCATGAAGAGTCACAGCACACACTCGACAGTTTGTCCCGCCAAGATCGACTGCAAGAAAAAGGCCCTTCTCTCGGCCACTTGGGATTTGTGTGACGAAAGATGGTATCTGATAAGCATGCTTGTCTTTCAAACCATGTTCTGATAGGTTGGGTCAGTAGATACACTCGAGATAGCAAGACACAGCACATACTTATCTGCTTCACAAAGTAATTTGTTATCTCCTGTATCTTCTCGCTCCCAACCTCAAACTCTTGGGCAACCGATTGAACAGTTGCCTGCTGGCTGTCCCCTAAGCCATCCTCCAACATGGCAAAGCAAGACAGGCAAAAGAATACGTAAAGATGGAAACGATGAATACGGTACGCATTGTAGAGGCAAGGTCAAAGACTAATACCAAAACTGTTAATAATTCCGCAGTCAGCTCAATCCGCATTGACCAGGAATGGTGCAATCTCATCGCCAGGCTTCACGGCAAAGTCCGGCCCGGTGGCGGCCAACGCCGGATCGAGTAGCCACATTTGTACTAGACCAGGGATGACTAGTCTGATAAGACACTAGGGAAATATCGGTCACTTCGCCGTTCTCTCCCTCCCCGCGCATTTCTTGCTTCATCCACTTTGCATATGCACGCACATCCACTGAGCACAGCACAGCAGAGCAGAGCAGACATCCACGCCCACTCTGACACTCGACCATGACCTTCGGCGAAGATTCCCGTCCCCTGGACCGCGACGCCCCAGATGAGGCTTCAGCACTCAAGGCCCGCAAGGCTTGCAGTGGGTACACCCCTTGTCTATGGACCTATGATCCAAGACATTGATTGAATGCTGATTAAGCTGCCAAGTAAACTGCCGGAAGCAAAAGATGAAATGCGTGCTCCAGGGTAGCAGTGAAGCATGCCGTCGATGTCGCCGAGCAGGACTTCCTTGTGTATTTGTGCCCAGAGCGAATGCAGCTCAGTTACCCTCGCTCTCGGGGACTCTGGATCTAGATTTCAAGAACAACATTTTATCCAGGCTAAAGGTTGTCGAGGAGAGACTTTCCATTGTAACCGATGGTGATATGGATTTTGGTGCTGTGGGAATGTTCTCTGGAGTTTCGGAGCAGTCACCAGAGCCAACCCCCGATGGACCACTCTGGAATGCGATTGTACTCCTACAGAGATGTTCACCAGCCGTGCCATCATCGATTTGGCAACGTGATACCATAGAGTCGCTCTGGTCTTCGTACGTTACCTGTCTTTGCATTGTACAAAGTCATTAATAACGTGTGTCTGTTCCAGCTTTCATGATAGGATGCCAGGGCTGCACTTCATGCCCGATAAGCAAACATTTTCGACCCCTCAACCAATCTTACTTGCATCCATTCTCTATTGTTCAAGCAGTCGAGGACCACCAGATGTGTTAGAAATCGCCCCCCAATTCTTCACCGTCTTGTGCAACGCCATCGCTCAACTAAGCATCCCCAGCAGTGAGATTGGGACACCTCGAGAGTCAACCGTCTCCCAAGAGGAATGGGCTTTTCAGACTGTACTTGGTATAGTCCTTGCTGGTTTGCTGACAGAGGGCAATATCAAGGAAACCGGAAACTGGATTGCCATTGGCTACCGACTAATGCTGGACTATTGTCCTGCTCATGTTGACGACACGTCAAGAGAATGGCGCAAGCTCTTCAGCGGTATTCAGATCGTTGACTTGGAGCACTCATCGATTTACTTGTCGTGCCCAGTGATTCCCATTGAAGCACCGTTGCCAATTCTTCGCATGTCACCTCTCGATCAGCTATACAAGCTTTCCCGAATGATGCACACGGGGTTGAGTCACTTTACTGGGCGGAGGCTACCGACTATCTGGTCCTGCTTCCAGGAATCTAGCCTGAGTTACCATGGTTCAGCCACGAGCTTCACTGCCATCGATGGGATTCTTATCAAAGATTGGGCAAAGCAACTAGATGATTGGCTCCAGGAGTTCAAGGGGAAGATGACAGAGCCTGATGACCAAAGCAGCAAGTTGGTTCTCCGCCAGTACGTCCTCCATCGACTACTTGTGCTATCAATCTATCATCCCGCTCGAAGTGGCAATCTTTGGGCGCATAGTATAACGTCAAATGAACAGGAAGAGCTGCTCCTGTCAGCGAGGGCGACTTTAAAGCTTCACCAGCATGATGACTCCATCTGGGCTAACTGGGACTTGATCATGATAACCTGGGCGGCTTTGATCGTTCTGCAAGGGTTACAAGGGGGAGTAGGGGAGTCAGACGGTAAGCATTATCGTGCATATCCGAGTCGAATACTGACCATTTTCTAGACATGAGAAACATCAGGCTGCACCTTGATATCTTGAAACAGAAGAATGAGCCCAAGCCTAGTCTGTGCGACAAGCTTATTGCACGACTAGAGGACAGCCTCCAGGATATCAGCACGCCAGACTTCACTTATGTGCAGCCAGGTCATCCTACAGTTATGGACCCTACGTTTGATTATTCTTGGCAATTATTCGATCAAGTAAATTTGCAGCAAATTCAATTTCCTGAGTAAATAACACTGCCGATCTACCTAGAAAACTTGACCTCACATTCCGACGGGGAATGTCACAGACCGAACCCGAAAAGTTGGCGCTATACGTGATGCCATGTTATCAGGCTTCAAATCACCATCTTCCTCCCCATCAGCTGTCAATGTGGGCGATGGAGGAAGGTGACCCGAGACCTCCCTTTGTCTGATTGTCTTTTCGACTCCATAAAAATACTGTACTTGTCAGTCTTGTTGATGGAGACAACTTGGGCTGAGTACTTACATTCACTGTCTTCACTTTCAACTCGAGGGTAGCATCTCTGTCCACTACCACCATGCTTTTTGGGTGTAACTGGAGGCACGAGAGTGTGCAGAGATGGCTGACTCCACCCTCAACTGCTTGCTGAATGGCAATGGCCTTCGAGGCCCCCGTAGCAATAATGACGACTTCTCGTGCATCCATAACAGTCTGCACTCCAACAGTCAAGGCCATGTCAGGCACTGCTTCAATATCATTGTCAAAGAATCTCGCATTTGCAATCCGGGTCTCATATGCAAGAGATTTGATTCGAGTTCTGCTGACAAGACTGGAGCCCGGTTCATTAAAGGCAATATGACCGTCCGTTCCTATACCTCCAAGGAAGAGCTCAATTCCACCGAACGACTTGATCTTATCCTCATAAGCCGAGCACTCGGCGAAGAGGTCAGGAGCATTCCCATTGAGCAGGTGAATATTCTCTGGTTGGATGTCGATGTGTTTGAACAGATTGTGGTGCATGAAAGAGTAGTATGACTCGGGATGTTCGCGGGGTAGGCCGACGTATTCGTCCATGTTAAATGTCACGACATGTTGGAAGGATATCTTGGAAGCCTTGTATGCTTTGATCAAGTCATTGTATATATGGAGAGGGCTGCTTCCGGTGGGAAGGCCGAGGACGAATGGCTTCTCGGATGAGGGATTGAAAGCACGAATGCGGTCTGAATCACTACAGCATCAGCACATCTTGTTTGATCTAGACTGGGGACTTATATAAGCAGGCAAGGCTTACTGATGATGTAGTCAGAGATGTATTGGGATGCCTCTTGAGGGCCTTCGCGGATTACGAGACGCATCTTGGGTTTAAAATGTGTAGAGGTATTAGAACAATAGTATTCGATGGATAATGTCAACTTGCACAAAGTCTAGATTTCGACCTCTCCTTAACTGGCTACTATCTCTTATACAATTCTTCTCTATCAACGTGCCAAACTATCCATTGTGTCATTGGGCTATGATAGAAGCAAGGGAGAAGCCCGAACTTTGCCGGTGTGTAGACCGAGCCAAACAGAGTTTCGCGGTAGTTACTGAACCGGGATACTACGGCCATTCTACGGTTCCAGCCCCTTGGGTACGGGACACTAACAACTTCAAGTTAGCTCCTTATCGGCAAATGACAAAAATGCGGCCAACTACCAAATGCCACTAAAAAAACCGGCCTCTGGAACATGAGTCGCGACCGGATCTAGATGAACTTTAAATTTCTGAACTCCTCTTTATTTGACATTTGCTATGTTATAATTACACTTCTAATAATCTGACAGAAACATATTAGCCCCATTACTCAGTGTTGCATCCGCCCCTTGTTACTCTAGCAGGTATAAGTCATGTCCAAAGTGACACTAGGGGTACCCTTGAACCCCTCAGGCACCGCGTACGAGATGTTGTAGATCCAGTGATCCCTCAGTGTAGCGCCGTAAACGACATCCTGCTTCACCAATCCTGGTGCAGTAACGTTCACATCAAGACATGGCAGCTTCTCAAGCCCCTTGACAACGTTCTTGCCACCAAGAGTCCAAGAAGGGGGAATACCAGTCAGAGCAAAAGTGAAGATGTTGGCTCCATCCTGGGTAGTGTTGGGGTAAGACACCGTCAACTTGTTTGCTTCGGCCTTTGCGTTCAAGGTTGAGGCGCTGGGGTATAGCGAGAAGAAGCCCATGTACGGATAAGGCTTGTGCGAGGGGTCAGAGGCCCACTGCACGATAGCTGGGACATACTGGTTGCCTCTGTTTACGGTCTCGTTGACGGTCTGGCCGCCAATCATGAGCTCAGCACTGAGCCAAGAGGTGACGTGGCGGGGGTTGTTCGAGTCAAGCTCCTCGTAGATGGTCTTCTTGATGAACCGTGTGCCTTTCCACTTGCCCTTGGACTTGATGATGGCCTGAGCGTCCTTGGAGATTGTTGGTGCGATGACATCCATGACCAGAGCAAGCGCGGCACCTTGGGCGATGTCGTAGAGGAGATCACCTTCGCCGAGAGGAGGCTGGCCTCCAACACCGCGTCCGTAGACACCCCAGAGAATCATGGAAAGAATCTGAGAGTGAGTGGTGGCATCACGACTGTAGGCACGATCGTAAGGCCCAACCATGTTGCCGAGATAAGGGTTATAGTGAGCAGCAATGTCCTTCCACATCTCCTGGAGGATCAACACTGAGTTCTTGGTCATGGGAGCATCCTTTGGACCATAAGCAATGTTTGCCGCAAGAGCCCAAATGTCTATGCCATAGTAGTTTGGCGCATTGTACTCAGACAGCGAATTCTGGCATCGCTTGAAAAGCTTCAGGAGATCGTTGCCCTGCTCCTTGGCAAAGTCGATGAGGACTTTGTTGTTCTTGCGCTTTCCGACCCAGCCAGTAGTGAGAGCTCGCATGATGCCCGGGTTGGAGTAACCAAGAATCAGGTTGTCGCCCAATGGGAAAGATCCGTTGCGACGCATTCCTCCAATTGCAGCAGCCTCAAGGGCGTCTTCGATGCGAGATTCAAGACCAGCTGGTAGAAGATGTCCAAACTCCTCGACAACCTGGATAAGCTGGGTACTGTGAAAAAAGGTCAGCACCCGAGATTCATCAATTGACGAGGAATTACTGTGACTTACCCGACAAATTCCCTCCAGTTGGGATCATAAGTACCATAGATACTAGGAGGGTACAGAGGTCCATTGGGAGTAGGGTCAGGCTCATCCGGCGAGAGCTTGAAAGTACCGTACCAAGGAGAGCTGAAGTTGCTGTTCAACTGGTTCGCCAAGCTGATGAAAATGAATGTCAGTCAAGTGAGTTCAATGAGGCCGATGAGAATATGACTTACACATTTTCGATAGCCTTGACAGCAGTCTTCACATCATCGCCCTTGGCGCGATGCAGAAGTCCTGGAATGTGCCAGGCCGTAAAGCGGACAGACCATTGGCCATTATCCTGGTACCAGACATAACCGTAGCTTGAGTCATAACGAGACTCCGACACTGACATAGAATAGTCAAAAAGGCTCTGCGCAGCTGTAGACTCTGTCAACACAAGTTTCGGCAATGGAACCTTGAAACGAACCTGGTGTGAGCTTCTGACTATTGCTGTTACGCTTAGCCAGACTCGCCGCAGACGCTGCAGAGCCAAAGGCCAAGAAAGTGGTAGCGAGTGAAAGAAGACCCATGTTGAATATCCCAAATTGAAGTGATACGGCAAAAAACAACTAACAGACCTGTGACCTCAAGACCAAAAATGAGTGGACAATCAGCCCCTCTTAACATGACTCCGGATCAACAGTGTCTTTCCCCAGATCATCTCCCAGACCCTTGGGGATGGGATGGGCAAAACCGGCGAATGACGCCGGCGATTTTGACCCTCTTGGGAACTTCTCCGCATTCTGGCCTTGCCTTTCATCGTCTAGAGTGGATGAATCAGGCTAGGGAACAGCTGATGAACGGTCACTCCACAGTCGATAGCGGCCCCATCAAGAGCTGGGGCTGCAAAAGTTCATGCAGGTTCAATGATCTTTGGATTTGAGTGGGTAAACACGGAATTGATGCGCAATTGTTCCGTTTATTCTCAATGGACTTGTTTCTTGGGGAAACGTCTCTCTTGTGCTGTTACAGCTGAGAATGTATGTCTATCTGTAAACGAGGGCTTACTGCTGTGCTGTATCCGGCTACTATAATGACTCGGGTCCAATTGCTTGCGCATGCAAAGCCCAAACTCAAACTTCGTTCCCTAAACGAGGGACTTATTTTCGCGTGGAATTTCGGCTCCGAGTACATGGTCGGACCCTGATCAGATGATAAGACTAATCTCACAGGCTAGAGAACGAGCTCGAGATTGGCTCCGGCAAAGTTCGGTGGACTCTCCGATGCTAATCACTTCCATCCTTGTCTATCATGGTCGCGTGCACTATGGGGACTAAGCTAGCTCGCCCCATGGGGGGTCCGATAATAGCAACGTCGCGGGGAACATCGGCCCACAAGAGATACGGTATCGGGCTCAGATGGTAGATAATACTACCTTGCCTCCCCTCTCTCCGTTCGTTTGCATGTCTCCAGCTAAACCGAACCCTCGTCTCATCACCGCATCACAATGGTTCAAGCACAGGCTACTCTTGCCCTCGACGACCAGTTGGCCGCTGGCTGGTTTGGCTGGCTGACCAACAAGGGCATCCTCAAACTCAATGCGATTCTCTGTCTTTCGCTCATCTCCAGTTATGCCACTGGATATGATGGAAGTAAGTGTCCAGTCTAATTAATTGGTGTCAGCTCACATTTATTTACATCTTTGTCAGGTATGATGAATGGATTGCAGAGCCTGGATACGTGGAAAGCAGCCTTCAATAATCCTGATGCCAATAAACTCGCCATGTAAGTCTTGACCTCGTTAAGTCTCTTGGCTCCATAACTAAACTAACTCACTCCAGCTTGAACGCAATTCAGAACATTGGTCAACTCGCCGCTTTGCCATTCTGTGCATGGTTCTGTGATAAATATGGTCGTCGACCTGGTCTTGTTGTTGGAGCGACCATCATGCTTCTCGGTGTTGGTCTTCAAGGTGGAGCCCGGAATACGGGCATGTTCATTGCTGCTCGAGGTATTCTCGGTTTCGGGCTGGCTCTGAACATCACAGCTGCGCCTGTTCTGATTATGGAGTTGGCGTACCCCACTCAACGAGCGCCCATGGTTTCTATCTACAACACTCTTTGGGGTCTTGGTGCTCTTTCTGCAGCCTGGATTACTTATGGCACCTTCAGAATCAACAGCGACTGGGCTTGGCGAATCCCTTCCATCCTCCAAGCATTGTCCAGCTTCCTACAGCTTGGTCTATGCTTCCTCATCGACGAGTCTCCTCGATGGCTAGTTGCTCAAGAGCGTGAGCCCGAGGCCGAGAAGCTTCTTATCAAGTATCACGCCAACGGAGACAGCAGCAACCCCGCAGTGGCTGTCGAGATGGAGGAGATTCGAACAGCCATTCGCTTGGAGAATGACGCTATGAACTCCACCAGCTACCTTTCTTTCTTCAAGACGAAGGGCAATCGTCATCGTTTCTTCATCATTCTCGCAGTTGGCTTCTTCAGTCAGTGGAGTGGTAATGGTCTCATCAGCTACTACTTGACCTTGATCCTCAACTCGATTGGCTACCGATCTCAAGAGACACAGACACTCATCAATGCGTTGCTGACCGTCTGGGGATTGTTCTGGGGTGTTGTGTTTTCCCTTCTTGTCAACCGTATTCCTCGCCGCGCCCTGTTCCTTTTCTCGACTCTTGGTTCCCTGGCAACCTACGTTGTATGGACAGCTCTCGAGGCGACCTACGAGATGTCGACCGACCTCAATGAAGATGGAACTGGAGGCCCAAGTGGCATCGCCAAGGGTGTTCTTGCCATGATTTTCCTCTTCAACGTCTTCTTCACAGCAGGTTGGGGTGTTCTCCAGGTCACTTACGTTGTTGAGATCCTTCCTTTCAACCTCCGTGCAAGAGGCCTCGTCTTGTACAACCTGTTTGTGGCCTGCGCTCTGATCTTCAACCAATACGCCAACCCAATTGGTGTCACAAACTCGGGCTGGAAGTATTACATTACTTACGATGTTTGGCTGGCTGTAGAGGCTATTGTCGTCTACTTCTTGTTTGTTGAGACACGTGGCCTGAGCCTGGAGGAGACAGCTTTGGTGCTCGATGGTCCCGAGATGGGAGACAAACTTGTTGGAGAGGTTCTGAAGAACACAGAGAAGACCGTTCAGGTGATCGAGACTGAGAAGCGAGGGTCCATATAAAAGGATTGGGGTGATTGAATTATGTAGGAGTACAAGACATAGTATAATTAATTAAGTCTTTGGTATTGATCTTTCGCTGATTGCTCGTCCAACTCTTGATCGTATACAACTGGGCAGAGGCCAGTGATCAGCAAATCCCAGTCGAATGAACGTACGTTTTAGAAATGCCGTACAAGTTCATAGACAGACCGTAGCTGATTCAACTTTACATATCTAATACCACAACCAATTCCCAAGAAGGCCATAATTGCTCACAAAGCGTCGCCATGTTGGATTCTTATTATGCTGGCTTTGCCCAAACCTGGTAACCTAGTCACTTAACCTGTAGTGTTTATGCTAGCTTCGCAAATGAGGGGTTTCTCGCAACCTCACCCGAGTCATTGCTGTAGAAGGTCGACCCCCCGGCTTTTTTCGGCGAAAGTGGGGTCTTTCATCTTATCGTCCCCTCAATCGCTCCGCCGAGTGCCATCACTGGATTTCGTAGTAGGCTTTCAGTTCTATTAGTGTGCCTATAACTCCATTGCTTCTCAACGCACATACAACGAAGCCCTGGTTTTATTTCACCAAGGTTTAATTGTCCATTATGGATTCAACGATGGATAAGCCAGACTACGAGAATCTCGAGGTGATACAGAGGAATAGGCTTGCTCCTAGAGCCTACTGGTTGCCTCCTACACATCTCCTGCTCAATGGAACATGGGATTTCCAATATGCCCCAACGCCCTTGGAAGCTTCGGAATATCCCCCAAAGGACGGAAGCCCTGAAGAGACTTGGTCCGCGATCGATGTCCCAGGCCATTGGCAGTTGCAAGGACATGGCCACCCGCACTACACCAATGTACAATTTCCGTTTCCGTCAAACCCTCCTTACATTCCCACTGAGAACCCCACGGGGACCTATCGGCGACAATTCAAAGTTCCCACTGGATGGGACAGCACATCTCAACTTAGACTACGTTTTGATGGCGTTGACAGCGCGTATCACGTCTGGCTGAATGGCTCCTTTGTTGGATACTCGCAAGGTAGCCGCAATGCTGCCGAATTCGACATCACAGCCATCGCCAAGAAGGACAGTGACAACGAATTGGTAGTCAGAGTCTATCAATGGTGCGAGGCATCATACATCGAGGACCAAGACCAGTGGTGGCTATCAGGTATCTTCCGCGATGTGACTTTACTGGCACTCCCTGGACAATCGAGGATTGAAGACTTCTTTGTCAAGACAAACCTCGATGAGAGCTACGAGAATGCTGTCCTCCAAGTCGATGTCACCTTGAACAAACCGAAAACGTCGTCTCTTGATCTTTTGCTCATTCTTCGAGATTCCGGTGTCGAAGTGAGCTCAACACGCAAGGCAGTTGATATCAACACAGCCAAGTTTAAAATACCCGTTTCAAAGCCGAAGAAGTGGACTGCTGAAAACCCTTACCTTTACCAGCTCGAGATATCTCTACAGACAGAAGGAGGAGAGTCAATTCAGACTATTGCACAGAATGTTGGCTTCCGAAAGGTCGAACTGAAAGATGGTCTCATCACTGTAAACGGCTCACCCATCCTTCTTCGGGGCACGAACAGACATGACCACCATCCAATCCATGGAAGGGCTGTCCCATATGAGTTCCTCAAACAAGATCTGTTGCTCATGAAGCAGCATAACATCAACGCCCTCCGAACAAGTCATTATCCTGGACAACCCTGGCTGTACGACTTGGCCGACGAGCTGGGATTCTGGGTCATGGACGAAGCTGACCTAGAGTGTCATGGATTCTATGATGTTGTCACCCAGCACGTCACGCCTGCTCCATATCTGGATTATGAGGGCAGCAAGGAGGAGTTCTTCCCCAAAGCAGCACAGTTTACCTCTGATAATCCCGAATGGCGCGAGTCATACCTCGACAGAATGGTACAGATGGTGCAGAGGGATAAGAACCATCCTTGCATCTTCTCGTGGTCTCTCGGCAATGAGTCCTTCTACGGTGTGAACCACGTTGCGATGATCGAGTATGCACGAAGTATTGATGATCGACTTATTCACTACGAAGGTGACATCAAAGCACAAAAGACTGATATGTACTCTTACATGTATCCTGACCAAGATCGTCTCAAGAGACATGTCGAAATCGACGGCATCAAGGATGGGCAGTGGGAGAAGCCCGTGATCCTCTGCGAATATGCTCACGCCATGGGTAATGGCCCGGGTGGCCTGGATGATTACCAAGACGCGTTCCGCAAGTATAAACGTCTTCAGGGTGGGTTCATCTGGGAATGGGCCAACCACGGCCTCTTGCACAAGGACGGCTACTATGCTTATGGAGGCGACTTTGGTGACCAGCCGAACGACTCAACATTTGTCATGGATGGGCTATGTAACAGCGAGCATAAACCAACGCCGGGCTTGGTTGAGCTAAAGAGAGTGTTCCAGCCCATCAACTTTAAGTTCGAGGATGGCAAATTGTTGATCACTAATGAGTATGATTTTATCGGCCTGGACCATTTGGAGGCAAAGTTTGCCATAAAGGCATTTGGAGACGAGTAAGCCAACGTGAAATGATAGCGAGATTGAGCTAATCAAGGGTAACTAGGCTATCCTTGCTTGAGTCAGGTGTTCTCGAAGTTCCGAACGTCCGACCGTGGGATACAGTAGACCTTGCTCTACCCGTCGATCTAACTAAGTATTTGGATCATGACAAAGAAGTGTTCCTAAGCATCTCTTTCAGTCTCAAAGAGTCTACCTCGTGGGCACCAGCTTCGCATGAAGTTGCGTGGTTTCAGCATAAGATCTCCGCCGAAAGACAACCCAGTATTCCCGTCAGTCTATCAGCTTCCTCCGGAAATGTCAAGGTTGTCGAAAACCGAACCAAGGTTGAAGTGGCTGGCGCGGACTGGGATATTCACTTCGATCGCGTGCGAGGATACGTCACCAAATGGTCTCACGGATCCGATTTGCTGGAAGTTGATCCAGTTACTCGTGCGGCAATTTATCCATGCTTCTGGCGTGCACCAACAGATAACGACAAGGATAGTGCGGTCAGCGTATGGAAGGACTATGGTGTTCACCGAATGACTTCTCAGCTGAGATCATTCAAGGTCGAGACAGACAAGGACGGTTCAGGTGTCAGGATCGAGACCAAGACCTACTTTGCGCCACCAGTTTTGGGATGGGGTTACGACATTAACACCGTCTACCACATATCATCCAAGGGTATCTTATCGATGAACCTTGACCTGAACCCTACGGGAGTCTTCCCAGTCGACGTACCAAGAGTTGGCTTGAACATCAGACTGCCCAAGCATCTCAGTCAAGCCTCGTGGTTCGGTCGAGGTCCAGGCGAGTCTTATCCCGATAAGAAGCACTCACAAGCTATTGGGATTTGGTCTTCCCCAGTGGATGATCTCGAGGTTCCATACGATGTCCCTCAAGGAAATGGAAACAGAATGGATACGCGCTGGCTGCGGCTTGTGGATGCCGACGGGCACGGGATTAGAGCTTCGAGGGTCGATACCGCAACCTTTAACTGGACTGGTGGTCGTTTGTCAGATCAAACTATCGAGAACGCAAAGCATCCTTGTGATCTGGTTCGCGAAGATGCCACGCTTCTTAATCTGAGTCCCAGGGTCGCTGGTGTTGGTAGCGCTACGTGTGGACCTGGTGTGCGAGATGATTTATTGGTCAAGGTTAAGCCTGAGTCATACGGGTTTGTACTTGAGAGTATCTGAACCAAGTAAATACATGGCACGTTTATCATGAAAATTTTTAAGTAGACCATCTCTTCTACATTGGTTATACTGTCTCCTATAGTCCTACTTCGGACAGCTTCCAAGTCGTTCTGCACGACATTGAAGCATTCCTTGCTTTAGCATCAATCGTCAACGGTTCCCAAATATATCCAGACTTATCCAGTTCATTCTTATTCCATCTGTCACCCATGTACACAAATTTACCAGCGGCAGTTTGAAGGACCAATGTGGTCTGGGAATTGCAAGTTTTACTGCCCGTTGGCGCAAAACTTGCAGGCTTAGACCACGATCCCTTGAGATCCTTGGTCGTTGTATATTGGTTGTCATTCTGAGGGGCTTTAGCATCTGAGACCTGAAAGATAGCGTCATGAACGTACCGTAGACCAACCAGTCAAGTGGCTGCCAAAGAAGTAATACACCCCACCCGTCTTCATAACTGCCGGTGCTTTGAGGGCTGACATGAATGAGTATGGAATGGTAGCGGCCAAAGAATCAACCACGGTGTAGTTGTCGGACAACTGGAAGAAGTGGGTTCCTTCTTTTCTGTCTTCAGCAACAAGATACGCAGTGCTGTCATCATCCACAAAAAGGGTCATATCGCGAGCAATGTGGCCTTTTGGTCGCAGGCTTCCGAGGTACTCATAGTCTCCGCAGGGTGTGTCAGACACGGCAACACCAGACCGGGCATCCCCATAAGTCGAATTGTCAACGTGCATCCACATGACATATTTACCAGTCTCCTCGTTGTATACCGCCTTTGGGCGCTCAATAATACGATCTGGCGCCAGATCTGGGTGAGGATCGGTGTTCGTCAAAAGATTGTTTTGAAACTCCCACGAGAGTAGATCTCTGGAACTGTAACACTATTTATTCTTCAGTGAGCTATGCGCTGGGAGGCTGGCGTTTGGGACGATTAGGAACATACCGCTACACTGTTGAATAGGTTGCCTCGAGGATTGCTGGTAGTTCTTGTCTTGTTCTCTCCAATGAGGTAGTAAGTGCCATTGACCTCGAGCAGACCAGGGCCTATTGTGTTAAACCCGAAGTGTATTTTCTAACCTTATAACTAACTCATAAACTAAACTCCGCCACGACCTTTTAATTACCCTAAACCTTCTTTTAGTTTAACCTTTATCCCTAATTATACTAATATACTTATTATTATAAAACTTTCTCTAGTTAGGTTAAGCTTTTTTTATATATTAGTATTTCTTAATAATTCTAATAGTTATATACTATACCTAGAAGTCCCTCTTAGCTAAATTACTATTTATACCTTAAATATAAATATAATTTAAGCTAGATTTTACTATAATAGCTATATAGCTTTTTCCCTTTTATCTTTCTTTTTTACCTTTATCTTTTTTAAAGTAAATAATATACTTTTTCTTTACTAAGTAACTTAAATAATTTCTATAAAGAATTTACTAAAGGCTATTATATAAGTAATAGTTTTATAGTTAAAGAAAGTAAAGTTAATAAGAAATTTACTATTAAGCTAATTAAAGTCCTATATATATATTAACTTTATAGCCT